GTTGGTTCGCGGTATAGGGAGACATATATTATTAGCGTTTCGCAACATACGGTGATGTACTTGTGACTTTTTGGTAAATGTTATTTGTGTATGAATAGTTTTCCTAATTATTTTTCTTATAAGAATACATGTATTATATTTGTATAGTTGATTGATTGACATTATTTTAAATATTTTGATTGTATGTATGTATGAATGTATAGTTACATTGCTGCCATCAACACGGAGGTTCATTTATTAATGCCTTTACGATAGAACACTGGGGATCTAGACTCGACAAACTGTGTGAAAACATTTTTACTGCCTCCTGTGAAGATTTTTTTTTATCACGTAGAAAATTGTACAAATTACGAAAAAAATGGTAGTCCGTTGGAACAAGGTCTGTCGAGTATGGAGTATGACGTAATGTTTCTAACTGCAGCTCCTAGCAGCTAGAGTTACAACGGTTTCTCTTGCAATTTGAGGTCTTGCGTTATAATGGAGCACTTATGGTGAGTATCGATTCACGTGTCGGGGCTTAGCCATTGCATTTTTTGCCTACCGTTATCGTAAACAGTCCACTTTTTATCACATGTCACAATTTGATCCAATAATCCTTCCTTTCTGTAGCGATTCAACAAGGCAACACAAGTTTCCACACGCATTTCTTTCTGCACATCAGTTAAATCATTAGGCACCCATTTTTCATATTTTTTTTATCTGATTGATTTGATACAAATGATTATAATATTGTGGTCAGGGTAACGTTAAACCATGCTGCTAATTCCTGGGTAGTTTGAGTAGGATCGGCTTCAACCATCTTTAATTCAGCGTTATTCAACTGTGCCCACACAGGTCTTCCACGTTGATTGTTCTTTAAGTCGAAGTTTCCATTACGAAAGCATTTAAACTTAAATTGCTCGGTGCGTTCATTAACAGTCTCCTCTCCAAACGCAGCGTTGATATTGCGAGACAAAAAAAATTGAAAAAAAGCGTGGGGTGCTTTTTACTATGGACAACAGGCACCAAACGCTTGTATTTCAAATTTATTTTCTATTTTTTAGTTTGGTTTTCTATAGAAAGCGTGTTTTTTTAGTTTTTAAAACTATAATTTTTTTATGTTAGTGTATTGTCCTCGAAATATCTACAAAGTTTGAACTAATTCTGACCGTTTAAAGTCAGTCAAAATCACGCCCAAAGGAGTCGGTTACAAACATACAAACAAACATATAAGTGAAGCTAATATAAAGCGTGTAATGACTCGAATTTTCGAAATATCCATCTTTCACGTCTAACCTGAATAAAAAACAATTGAAAATTGAAGTCGAAAATCGAATGTTGCTTATCTTCTAAAAGAAGAACCTCATGGGTTTCATGTGAAACAAGTTTCACACGAAGATTTTATGTCAATTAAAATTATCTATTAATAAACAACGGCAATTTCATATTTTAACTAGTGATGTGCCGGATCGTTAACAACGTATATCCGCGGATACGGATCCGAATACGGATATTTGGTATCAAGGTCCGCGGATACGGATACGGATACGGATCTTAAGTTTCTTACTCAATCGGAGCCCGTGACCTTGATAGTTGTCGCCACTTGACGCTTTGCCGTTGATATTTAAATATTTCATTATTTTAATAAGCTAATACAAAGATGTTTGATTGATCTCATTATAAAGATAGCTCTTTCAGTACCTACGACCTGCCTAGTTGATTTAGTGTAGTACGATAAATGATTGCAATACAAAGGTGCCAAATATTTGTTTTAAGAAATAAAAAGTAATCTGAACAGAATTCAATAGTTTTTCATAGTTACCTAATAACCATTATTCAGGGTTAATTTAAATTTACTGAAAACCTCTGAAGTGCATATTAGTAACATTATAAACAACAACTTTTCTTCTGGACTAACACCGAAAACGAAAGAAAAAAAATTGTTTCTCCATACAAACTAACCACATTTAATTGGTCATTTGAATGGAGGACCAATTTTTTTTTAATTTGACGTTGACCAGAAAAAAAGTTGCTGTTTATAGTGTTACAAACACATACCTAAGAGTTTTACAGTGAATACTAAATCACCTATATAGAATTTCATCTATGTAATATGTATTGAAAGATCCGCCAAAAAAGTCACGGATACGGATACGGTTACGGATCTCTCTTCTCCCTTGGATATCCGCGGATACGGATACAGATACGGATATCCGGCACATCACTAATTTTAACCCCTATTTTATCTGAAATGTTAGTTATATGTGTATAAGTGTTAAATTATATTATTATTAGTTATTTTATTCAAGGGTGAGTTACATGAAATTCAGATTCAAATACTGACCCATAATTATTGAACTCAGGGAAAAGTAGCTCACGAATAAAAGGATCAAGGAAAAATACAGAGATAAACTCGTTCTTCAATTACGAGTAAGTACTCATAAATGTAAATGTTTATTAAAAGGTCGTGTGCAGAGAATACAAAACCTACAAAAACCACCGGGTATGTTTTAATCAACACACGAACATTTGTAACAGATGCAAATTATCTAAATAAAATTAAACTTGCCCTGACTAACTGACTGATTTATCAACGCAGAGCCTAAACCACAGGGGCTACAAACATGAAATTTTATTTACTGATTCTTTTTATGTTGTAAGCACCCGCTAAGAAAGGATTTTTGGGAAACTTCACCGCTAAGGGGGTAAAATAAGGGATAAACGGTTTTATAGAAGTTAGTCCTTTTCACAGTTAGAAACACGAAATAAGAAATAATCACGTGAGCGAAGCCGCAGGCAATAACTAACATAAAACAAAATAAAAGGCCATTTATTCTACTACTAAATTATTTTAACAATACGAGTACTTGATGTGATTATATATACCTAGTAATTAATTGTATAATAATTAATTATTTGTGCTAGTTATTAAACAACACTGTTATAAATTGTATAATTAATTGTGCTAAATACTAAATAACATTCCGATTAATTGTATAATGATGAATTAATTGTACTAAAAATAAACAACATTGCAATGAATTGTGTAATAATTAATAATTTTGCTTAATAATAAATAAAATATCTTTGTATCATCGCCATAAATAATATGTATAATTCAACGTATTCTATTTTACTTTAAAATTAATTCATTCAATGTTTAACATTGCGTGCATGCGACCAGACCACAGGCCAGATTTGCGCGGTGCTAACGGCGCGGTGGAGCGTCTGGCGATTAAAACAAATGCTTGAAAAATAAACATATGTATGAAACAAAACGGTAGACGCGGCGAATAGTATAAGAGCTAAAACATTTTAAATGTACTTGCCGCAAAATATTGAACTTTTTCTTCAAGTGCCATATTCGTTCCGAAAGTTGGTAATCATCAAGGCTATTCTATTTTCAGATAGTTTTTTTTAGGTTTAGTCTTCCATGACATAAATATAAACACGGAGTTAAGAGATTATCGATTATCGGAAGAAATAAAAGTACACTTTCAGTTTTTGTTCAAATCGTGACCTCCACAATTTCTTCAAAACATTATACCTATTTATTTTATTTACTTAACTTGGATATAAGATATATCGAATGGCTTGAATAAAAAACGACTACTCTCCAAACAATGTCGAGACCAATGTTGATAAAGACATTTCGCTCTCGGTCTATACTGGTCGCAGCAGTCAACGCAACTGCTCGTAGGCCTCCCCCATTTTCTTACAGTACTGCCTGTCTTTGGCTAACAATACATACACATCTGCCCAACGTTTCCTTTGACGTCCTCGTGATATTTTGCCGTCCTTAGGAATCCACTCCGTGATCTTTATAGTGCATCCATCATTAGTCATCCGACATAGATACCCCGCCCAATTCCATTCTTCCATTCGTTCCATTCATCTTATTCTTGCTGTAACATCTTTAAATTTTGTCATTTTCCTAATGTCATGGTTAGTAATTCTGTTTGATAATCGTATTCATGCTTCTTTACATTTTCTGTTGGCATATTACTAGCTTGCAATCTTCACATTTTCTTTATGACCAACTATTACATCCGTATGTTAGCGTTACTACAAGGTAGAATCGCTATATCAGAAAACTTTCTTTTTATTTTGATACTAAATGATGTATTTTTCTTCGACATACATCTTATTCGGTGTGGTGTTCAAATGAAACAGATTGACCTAAGTAGACATAGTCTTTGACATATTCTATGCCCTGACCATCGATGATGACTGAATTTTACACTTCACTATTTGTGATTGTTTTGGTTTTAGTGAAGTTGATAGACAAGCCCACTGTTTTACTTTCCTATGTTAGTCGCAGGCAATTTCTAGTCATTAATAATAACACAATAACTAAATATATTTACACCCAATTTATAGGTTCTTGAGCTTGGTCAAGGCCATGTTTAAATAAATCGGTCGCAAGTTCTAATTGATGCATTGTAATCATCTCCCGTGAAACGTATTTTCATTCAGTACAATGGCCTCATTTTACGTCCAATTTTAATACAAGTTATATTGAGTTTCTAATTTATATCACGCCTGTCGGGATCAATATTGTTATTTTTTTTATTTCCTAAAATTATTTTCGTCATACATTTCGTGCGTTGGAAAGTATATAATTAAAAAAATATATAAATCAATTCAAAAAAGTTTTTGAATTTGCAATGTTTAGTTAATATTTTGTTTTTAAGTTTACTCAACGCGGGATAGCTTAGGGGTAACATACTTTCTATACAATCATATACTTTTACGAGAATTCACCACAGCAAAATTTTTCTTCGTAGATTTCCTATTGTCCTTGCATATATAGCAATATTTGGCTACAGAGTAGACATAAACGGGCAGACGCAAATATAGGAACCTGTTTTGATTTCTGAATATTATAAATATTTAAAAACAGAGGTATATAAAGATAGATTTATTGTAAAATTGTTTATTTTGTACAAATGATTAAACAGAGATAACATTAGATCACAGAAAGTCCAACAGGTGCAACATACAACATATCACAGTTAGCTTTAATAATGATGAGGGTTGTGGTGGGGCACGATGTGATGAGTGCTGTGTTTCACGTCAGCGTGGAAACTGGAATGTAAATAAATAGTTTTTATTAATAAACTCGCTTAGTTACTGACTTTAGTTGTTATAACCTAAATAACTATCACTATGTTGAAACAGTGCATCTATCAATATTAATCCTCGTATTTCTCTCTTCTCGCTTAACATCAAGTTAGCCTTTTAAATGACAGAATGTTCTTCTCTCTCTCCAATACAAGTACTGGAAACATCTATAACTATACCAAGTATCTATACCTTGTTACTTCTGTTATATTTTTATTTACACTCGTATTGACCGAGAATAGGTAAGTTTTTTTTTGTTTGTTACTTTAGAAAACAGCTGCTTCTCCATGTTGCATGTTTTTATAGCGATGCCTAACATAGTTAAAATTTTCACTCATTCATCGACAATATTTGTAATAATATTTTAATTAAAGATAAATTTACCCAGAATGCTTATCACCGTGGTAGTCGACATGTCTGACTGAACCATCTGGCTGGTGTAGAGCGTAATATCCCTTGACACGGTCACCGTCGCGGTGTTCATGTTGAGACTTGATATCACCGGTGTGAGGGTCTTCTACCTTATAGCCAAACTCGTATTTAGGGTAAGCCTGTAAAAATCAAAAAAATTGTCATATTTCTAAAACCAATTGTTCAATGAAAATATTTTTCTCGAAGCTTACTAAATTGCAACATCTCATCTCATCCGTAACAGATATTTAACTTACGTAATAGTCAATAGCATGACCGTGTCCATGACCGTGGCCATGACCATATCCATCATGTCCGTGACCGTCATGACCAGCAACGTGAATTACTTGAGCCGGACCATCGTGGCGATGAATGTACTGGGAGGAGAACCCGTGTCCATGACCAAATACAGCCTCAAGAGAAGCAGTTATAGCAACAAAAAGCAGGACCTAAAAAAATAATTATGTTAACGACTTTTTCACTTTAAATAATACTGATGTTCTTTTTTTCATTGTTTTAAATAGGTAGGTGATATCTAAGTGTCAGAATATTTAAATCAAAAAATTAGGTTAACTAATTTAATCATCAGTATTTTATAGAATAATTATTGTCCTCAAAGTAAATATGACGTTATGGTCATATTTAAAGTGTTTGAAATTCCAAGAAACGTTAAATATTAAACGTGAAATTTTGATCATATTTGCGTAGAAAAACTATAAGTGGTTAGTAGTCAGCATTCGCAGTCGGTACACAATCCATGGATTCTTAAAAAGTTGGGTACATAGTGTATCAGTCAAGTTTCATATTTGACTTATCCCAGTACTCTGACCGATCACTCTGGTGTGTTTGGCTTTCGACCCATAAGCCTGACTAAACACTACAAATACATTTTATTTGTTTTGTTTGTTTATTCCACTGCGAGAAGAATCCAGACAATTTAAAAGGTTATATGATGGGTTATGGTTAAACCGCCTCACGGGACAGTATTTAAAAGAAGATGTGGTTAGGCTTTTAATTGTACATGAGAACTTCATTTTCTCTGAAACACTGCACAAAACACTTAAAAATAATGAACTTTTAACTTAAATTACCTTTGAAAACATTTTGATATTATATATTTTCACTGTTTATTTATGCGAATGATTCTAAGACAAATGCTGTACTGATACATTATAATAAAAATCAACGTCTTTTATATCAATAACAAAGGTAGTTATTCAAGGCAATATTGATTTCACTCTAAGTAAGTATTCTATTATAGTTTAAATTATTCAGCAAGGAAATATGCGGCGCCCGCAACAATTTCATAAAAACCTTTCGTTCGGAATGTCTATGTACTTATTACTTTACAGTGTGACATTGTCACAGTTGATTATGGGCACATTGCGAAAGATATCTCCGTATTATTGACACAAATTTAAATGAACAAAAAGCATTTGATTGGCTTCGTTAATGGGAAAAATAATGACCGATACCATTCTGATAGAGTTTCAATTCCGTTAGTGTCAGACTTCTAAATCGAGACTGAGCGCGATTTATTCAGCATATACAGACTGACTAAATCAGTCTGTATATGCTAAATAATTCAAATGCGTTTTCTAGATGATGGATGCACATATATTCATACTTGAATGACTAATGATAGATAATATCTTATTAGGAACGGTTACGATTTAACCACTCCCTTACAATTTAATTTTGTTTGGTTCTATCAAATGTCAATTAGTATTTTTTGGAATTATCCGCTTATTTAATAGCGAGTAAACGAGCAGACGGGTCACCCGATGGTAAGTAACTACCACCGCCGATGGATTCCTGCAACTTGAGAGAAAAGTGCGCGAAAGTTTTGAGTGTTTGCTCACCAAACTTAGGCCCGGTATCCAGTAAAGCAGAGAGGAGGGGAAACGAGAGGCTATTTGAATAAACCAATCAGATTTTGTTATTTTCACATCTCTCCGCTTAGCAATTGACAGTATTGTTTTATTGCATTCCAGCACAGACCGGCCATTCTTACTATTTCACCGCGACAAGGTAGGTTCCAAAAAATATCTAGAAATGTAGGACTTCTCTATTTTAATATGATATAATTGTGAAGTGACTGCACTTATGGCGTAGTGGTTTAAGCGGTCACCTCGCCGCTCCCTCTTACTGCGCTGAGTGTTGTGGGTCCGAGTGCTGAGTGTTGTAGCTGAGTTTGTGTGATCTACAGTGTTGTTCTAAGTCTGGGTGTTCTTTGTGTCCGTTACTATGTATGTTTGTAAAGTCCCACGACACAGAATATAGTTCTAGTGCGGGAGTTGTCGTTTAAAAGAAAAAAATCTAATAAAAATAATATACAACCATCAACCAAAACGTGCAATAATTATTTTTAATTTACATCCTTAAATTTACAATCAGTTTATAACCATTTCATTTCATATTCCTATTTCATACAATCATTTCATTCAACCATTCATATCATATTTAATGTATGAGGTCTTCAAAATTATGTAACACAAAAATAAAATAACCTAACCTCCGTTATAGGGAGAGGCCTATGTTCTGCGGTGGAGTACGGTGTACTCCCGGCTGTTGATGATTATGATGCCGAAAATAAAATGAAATAGGAATAATAATATTTTTTATTGACATAAAGCGTGTTACATTCATTTCAAAATTCTCTGACTCTTGCACTAGTAGATACTGTTTTGCAGGAGGCAGTCTCCGTCTGTAAATACCGTATCTACAACACAGTCGAAGTATTAAGTAAGTTTACAATAATGTCGGTAAAGAATTCAATAATAAAATCTTTATGTTAGAATAGCTTAAGTTATTTTTATATTATGAAACATTTAACTAACATGAGATAGTTTTCGGTTAAGGGGAATAGAATTGATAACAATATCTTATTAGACAATGCAGGAATATCAATTTTGATGTGTTCGCTGGTATTTCGTTTCAACGTTCTGTTTTATACTCATTTCAAACGACTTAAAAGGAGAATGTGTTAGTTTGTCAGATTTTGGCGTATGTTAATTGAATACTTGAAGACAATAAATAATCCTGCGCTTTGCGATGTTTCATTAGAATTATATTGAATTCTTAATTTTTTTATTGAGCTGATATACCTACTCGTAAAGCTGATACAGACTCTCAGCATTACTTATTGTCACCCACTTCATACCGACTAGAAGGTATCTATTGCTATTAAAATGTTACCTGTTATATTGAGGGTACTTATTTTACTATACTTAATTTGTTTTTTTTTTCAATTAGATTTGTAATTATTTTTTAATTTATAGTGCACTTTGTTAGTATTGTTTGAAGTCGGTTCAACTTTTTTTTGATGAATTTATTTTATCGTTTTTAGTGTGAGATACGTCTGTAATGAGTATATACGAAATTTAAAACACTACGTACTATAATGTTTATAGTACCAAACTGTTGTGGGTATCTTAGATTGTATTATATTTAGTTTTGATAAGTCCTTTACTTCATTTAGATAAGTTACTGAGATGTTAAATATGAACCCAAAAATATATAGTTTTCTACATTACTTAATTTTCCACCATTAGGAGTGGCATTTTTTATTTTAAATTATTTGATATACATAAAACATATACGGTTATATTACAAAATACAAGTTATATTACAAAAACACGTAAACAAAATTATAAAATATTAGGCATAATGTGTAGCAAATGCTACCAGTTCAATTCACGCTGTGCAAAAATACATCACCGGTCTTAAGCTTACCCCAGATACTTGCGTCAACAACTCAAAATTAAGAAATGCACACAGATAGATCACAATACACTGAACATAAAATTTAAGTACATAAAAATTTGAGTGTATAACACTATTTCGATTAGAACAAAACAAAAAAAAAGTATTTATTTCTTGACATTTGAAAGGAACCAAAGGGGAAGTATACACTAGGTAACAAACATGAAAATATTTATTTATTTATCATTTATTTATATCTTTATTACATACAGTTAACACATAAATTAGTTACAAGTACATAGACGTAACAATCGGCGGTCTTATCGCTCACGGCAATCTCTTACAGACAACCTTAATACGGATATGAAATATTTAAAAATTTGGTTAGTTTACATACACGTAACGTATTATCGCGTGAATTTTTAAAAATATTAACAAAAGCATTCATACAAAAATATACATTTGTTCACATTACACATAGATAAATACACATACATACATAAATAAATATTAATAAATATTATTTATATATACAGTCCAAAATATATAATATATTTAATAAAACTAACAGTATTTATCATGTCAAATAAAAATCCTTCAATAGCTTTTTGAAAAGGTTTTAGCTTGTCGAATTGTCAAAGGCAAGTTGTGCCAAGATTTGCGTAAAAAACGTTTTTGTTGTCTAAATGTTTTGTAATCTCATTTATTACTTTCTGGTGCACATATCTTTGTAACCCAACACAAACACCTAACAAATATCTTGAAAGAATAAAACAAGGTCAATACATGATTATATTATTGAAAGAGTTATGCTCTAACTCCTAAAGGTCAATGACCCTTCCATCAACAGCTCAGCAAAATAAGATAACGACTACCAAACGCAAATACTTGTACAGCTACAGAAAAAAACCTAAATCAGGTTCTCGGGGCTGTAAAATTTGAGGGTCGCCCTCGATTCATCTGGGATCCCATTATCAGGTAATGGGACCAACTCGGGATTATACCCTTTCGATTACAAAAAGTATTTTGAAAATCGGTCTATAATTGACGGAGAAGTTACGTAACAAATACATAAAAAAATACAGTTCAATTGAGAACCTCCTTTTTGTGTTTTTAAAGTCGGTTAAAAACTTACATCAAAGATGTACTGACCTACTGAATTACTAACTACTGACCTAGCTAATATAAGTATAGAATTAAAAAAAAATTAAGTAGGTACCTAGTAGTTTACAATTTAAATTAAATTATACAATTAAATTTATGTATTATAATATAATACATATTAGTTATATAAACATTTACAGTGCAAAAAAATTTAGTAGATATTTTTGAACCTTTTAGCGGTATTGGAGTACTTAGTTTCATCATCATCATCATCATCATCAACAGCCTATACTAGTCCACTGCTGGACTTAGTTTAAAAATGTATTATTAGAACGACTAAATAATGCATAAGAACGTAAAACAATTTATTTTACTAACTTTTAAACTATCGCCCTTTATAATATATAATCATGTTTACGGGCATTAACGCGCTCGCGATAAGCATTAAAAGTACATACCAGAGTTTATTTTACATCTACTTGACCGTCACGGTGACCGCGTTCGGTGCTGAGATTGGCTCGCTCTGAAATCTTCACCAATCGCAACGCCGAACGCACTCGCTATCGAGAGTGAGTTGATGTGAAATAAGCTTAAACTAGGCCCTCTGTTGCTGACAGTCAGGCTGAGGCCAAGGCCAATGCAACTTGGTCAAAACGTCAGACAATACAAAGGTATATAATTGCCGCCTTACGGTGTGAGAGTGCGTCGATTTCTGCCGTCTAATTCTTGCGTCTAATTCAAGTTATGCTTGCGAAGGAGATTGATGGCTGAGTGGTACCGTCTGCTGAGCGCCCGCGTCCTTTCGGTAGCACAAAGGGAACATGGGGGTTCCCACACAGGAGTGGGTTATCTACACGCCGTAGACGGCCCAAGGTACGTCAGGTACCAGGGATTTATTTTCTATGGTACACCTGGTTCTCTGGCTACTAATACCCGAGACGACATGCGGTTTTTAGTCGGTTCGAGTCCGACATTACATCCCCACCGGTGGGTCGTATCCAAGGGGATTGATAAATTGCAAAGCTAAGTAATCCTAGTCCGAGAATCCTTCGCGCCGCTGAGAACACGTTAAGCCGTCTGTGGCAATCGTTGCGTGTAGTTGGAACTCTAAATAGTTCGTCAAGAAAACTTATTTCTACAAAACTTCGAACTTCGTTTTTTTTTAAATGTAAAGTTTCACTTAAATTTTAGGTTATTATTTTGCTCTATGTTGCCATAGCAATTTATTAAATACAAGTATAAGTATAAGTAGCTCACTTAAAACAAAAAATATATTCCCTGTAAAAATAGCAGATATAAATAACAGTGCATGACGAATACATCTGATTTATATATTTTGTTGAATAAATAAAATTGTAAGAATATGAGCATTATACAATAACATAACATAGATGTTTAATATATATACATAATAATTCATTATGTGAGTGGGTTAATTGCGTAATTCGTAATCAGTAGCATTTTTAATTGCTGCCGAGAAACGGTAACTTATCTTTACATGACCTTAAAATATCTAATCGTTTAGAGATCCAAATGTAAATTATTTTAGACTTAGATGACTATAATAAATGTTATCCGCAGCTATGACTGCACAGGTTTTATTTGGTCGTTTGTAATGTTGAACCTCTCTTGTATTATTGTACTATATTTCCATCCGATCAAACTAAAACATAACAAATGCCTTGGGGATCTATTCAAGAATTCTTGTACTTTAGGTTTGACTTCTTTGTCCTTGATGCTTTTGAGCTTATAAACTTTACTGAATACTCAGTGGTATTGTAGCGTATAAAAACCTTGAAGATTGTTACGTTAGATACTTAAACAGTTTAATGACTACGTCTTATTCAAGATCAAATAGAAGCAGAGATAGCCACAGAAATTTTACAGCCGACGAATAACTATACAATAATCAATACGCAATGTCCAAGCTTGATAATAATGTCTCTGTTACCCGAACCAGAAGGCAACTGGAATCTGATCGGATGATCTTAATATTGCTTAAAATAATACAATGTATATTTATGAACTTTAATAACACATTGATCATAGAATATTGTAGTTTGCTAAATTCAAGTGCACTGAACTAAATTTATTTATTTTTATTATTCAATTCTCTTTGCACAAATAACAACTGATTATACAAAAGCGGACTTAATGCCACCGGCATTTTCGCCCAGTCTAGCTTTTGGGTGGTTGGAAAATGTCTGAGTAGGTGCACTAAAAATTAAGTCGTTTGTGTTAACGAGATAATAAAAATTAAGGAGATCAGAAACAGTCTGACAGATTTACATACATACATACTGAAATACACATACATTTGTACCTTCTGAGTTGTACATATGTACTCATATAATACAATATATAAAATTATAGGTATTGGACTTTCGTTTTAAATGAGAGGCAGAGACTATTTTTTTCTTTTCGTGTGATTGTTTGTTTCTTAACATGTTTTCCTCGGAATAATGCTTTCATAATTAAATACAGTATTACAGAAAGTAATAGGCTAGGGAATATTACGATTATAACATGTCGTCCATTTAACTGTTGCATTAGTAAATTGTTTAAAGTTCTGAGTTGTGAGTATTTTGTATTGCATGGGATTTGCTAAAACAGTCAATCGCCTTATGCCACAAGTGGAATATAGCTTAGCTATAGAAAATAGGTTATGTATAGGTTTTTATGCCCCTAAGAAAAATCTATTGTCTCATAAATGTATTTTGTAATTAAATACAAAAAGGTCCGTTAAAATAATAAGTATTATTTTTAAACCAATGAAAAGCCTTACGGACAATTTTCGAGCAAGGTTAAGTGTTGAAATACACTTAAAGCTTTCAAAAACCCGTTTAAACTACCTGGTCATTTATTTAACTTGAGTGATTTACTTTCCAAAAAAATACTATTTCACAATTTTTTGACATCCGGAGATCATATTTTCGCAAACCAGTTTGCAGTAAATTGCATCAAAATGCGCCCATCCACATAACTCGAGCCAAAAAATTTAACAAACCTGTTTGATGACAAGTATTTTGTGTATAAAACAGTAATACTTTCCTCATATACAACAGACTTGTGAGAGCTTTCGTGAAAACAACTACAAAATGATTTTAAAGGTAAATTCAAAATTGAAATATTGTCCAAGTGAGAGCGCAAAGTCTTTGAATAATTAATTATGTCCCATAAAATTTGTTATTATTTTATAATCATTAGAATGATTGATTATTTTAAAAATCTGTAACCCAAGCAAGAGAATGATTGATATTAATTATGGGTTAATTCCCTAAATATTTATTGCTAGACATCACATTTAACACCATCCATCTTTGCAGATTATAGCTGGATTACTTCTTATCGTGGCTACTTACTGCCAAGATCATCATGGCCACACTTTCTCGCTTCAAACACTAGTAACGCATGAAGTGCCTAAGAAAGTAGAAAATAATCACTACCATAAAACAGAATACAAAGTAGTGCCGGTTCACAAGCACGTAGCACAAGTAGCTACTAAAAGCTCCGGTCATGCCGTGTCATCTCAAAGTCTAACTCATCATGCATCACATGAACATGTAAATGAAATTCTTCATAACGATATTTTGAAGAGGGTTTACTTTACTCCGCAAGAGCCAGCTCCTGTTTACGAATCTCAAGAACCCGTACGGGTTCCAGTCCAATTAAAAATTGTTCAACAAACGGTGCCTCACGCCCCAACACAACACCGTGTACTGCAGTTAGTAAAGCAAATCCCTATTAAACCTCAAGTTATTAAAGTGGCTCCCATAATCCCAGTGATTCACCAAGCACCTATAGCTCCAATAATCCACCAAGCTGCCATAGCCCCGGTAATTCAACTATCTCCAATTCAACATCCTGCTGTTCAAATATCTCACCAGGCACCTATCCTGAAACATGTTGTTGAAGTATCTCATAAAAAACCAATTCAACACGATGTCACTAAATTAACCCATGTACCGGTTTATCACGAACCATTACACAATACTGAAACATACTATAAAGAATCTCATAAAGAGTCTCATGATGATCACCATGAACACCACGTTGACTATTACGTAAGTAAATTAATGATCACGTTATTGTTGTATTTACTTTGTGCCTTTTCGTCTTTAATTGTATTTTACAAATATTTTGTGAAAATTTTCAGGCTTACCCTAAATACGAATTTGCGTATGAAGTCAAGGACCCGCATACCCATGACGAAAAATACCAACACGAGTCTCGTGATGGCGATTCAGTAAAAGGAGTTTACAGTTTACATGAACCTGATGGCTCTATTAGAACTGTAAAATATAGTTCTGATAAGAACACTGGGTAATTATTTCACAATATTAATAGGTATATGCTATTATTTTGGACTGCCGTTTGACTGATAGACTAACTATAAAGTATTAAATACTCATATGTACTTCAATACGTGAAATGTTGGTAAGTAGGGTCCCAAGATGTCTTCTGAATGTTAATTGAGAATCGATTATTTACGAAATGTATAATAAAATAAATTCTAAGGTAGCTGGCGTTAAAATGTTCCTGGTATGTTTGATAACCTGGCCTGGTGATTTCTTCAATCACAGGGTGGACATATAAGAATACGAACCCGGTCTTTTGGAAAAAAAATCCCTAATTTGCCTTCGTCCTTTCGTCAGCCTAAAAATAATTACAATTCTAACAACAGTTGACGTCAAACTAAACTCATTGCAATGTTGCATACCACAAATAAAATTCATAAAAGGGCATTTTTTTAGTGTTATAAATTTAACACGTGCATCTGTATGTTTGTATGTGGCATCGAAACTCTCAAACAGATTGACCGCTATTGATTTGAAAGTTGACTTACTCGATAATGTTCTCATATTAGATACATATAATAGTCGGGGTTATTTTAAATATTTATTATTTGTGAGTTAACTACTAGTACAAGTACAAGTACTTGTGATAACCTCTAATGCAATTTTACCTATCATAAATCTTGTCGTTTGATTTTTAAAATTTTGCTAAACGTTGCTCATTCTAGATAAATAAATTTTATCTGCACATAGTAGCCTAATGTAGGACATACTATGACAAACGTTACAATCAAGGTTTCAAAATATTAAATTTCAAAATATTTTCAGTACGTCTTAAATTTTATCTTTTCTACACCGAACTTATTTTTTTTTATTTTTAATGCAACTCCAATATTTCCTCAGTTTCAGTGCAGAAGTTTCACACAAAGGACACACGGAACACATCATACCCCACCACCATCATTAGTTTAGACAACTTATTTATTTAAACATAATATTTAATTTAGTCCATAAATATATACCAATTTAAAAATCATGTGTTTTATCTTTTTAACTCCTATGAATATTCTGAATTTAGAATGTAAATAAAAATGTAAAGTATGTAATTATACATATATGTGTACCTATGTATAATATACATCTGTCAAAATATGAAATTTAGATAAATATGTCAATGTGAATTGGTGTATCTGGTTGTTACTCTTTTACGCCGTAACTATTCGAATGAACATCATAAGCTTTTACATAAACATTCTTAATTTAAGAGATACGGTTAAATTCAGTATCCTTAATAATATTCATTTACGTGCCTTTTTTGGTACCCTATGTCTTACTTGGGGTAACACTTATCAAGAAAAATTGATACATAGATGAACAAAATCTACACTGCCATCATGATGTAAAGGGCAAAACTACATTTTTTTCGAAATTGCAATCATTGTCATACTTGGCAGCAGAAACATTTGCCTATCTTATATTCTCCTATCCGTCAATATTGTTTATATAATTTTACAAACACGATAATCAAAAGTATCTTAAGCTCAAAGGCCACAACTGAGCCATTATTGTGTGGTAGAACGTAAAAAAAACACATGCTATCTAACTTACAGTACGTCCTACCCTAAACCGAGGGCAACCATTAACATAAAGAAAGAGCTACGATGTCTACCTAATTTAACTTCTATTTGAATTCAATTATTCAAATACAACAAATGCGACAAAATTAGATATGCGCAGTACCACAGTTTTTAAGATAAAGACATCCGTATTAGAACCGTAAAATGGATATATCCTTACGTCATAGAAAGTTAACGGAATTGCTGTTACATATACCTACATAGCAACACGTGAGTTGTATAGCAATTAGGAACGTTTTAATCTTCCTAAACTTAAGTAATACCAATAGATTTCGATGGGATTATCAGAATTTGTGCTCGTATTAGATCTAGTTAATTTATTTATGGTACAGAGAGCCATTCGAGCCTCCCCCCCTAAATCAGGAGGAGGGAGGTTCGGGCTCAACTGATCAACACCGGCTTTGATGAAAACATGATATCATTCCGATCCCACAAAAACTTCAATGACGGTAACTTAGAAATTTGCGTATTACAATGTAGTTCATGGTTATACAATAAAGATATTAAATGCGTAAGTAGTTTGATCTCACCTAATTCTTATACAAGACGAATGACAATGACATTATTTAGGTCGCTTTCTATTGTCAAGAGAGACGAGTTAGGTAAAAAAACATCATTGATTTTAGTATAAATCGATTCATTGTGTTAATTTCGTATCTTGTTACACCTTGCCAAGTAGTTTACATATTTATTATCATAAGGCTTTCATATCGCAGGTTACAGTATTAGGATTTAAATTTTACAAAAAAAAAAACCTTTCTTTATGGCCAGCTATTGTTTGAATAACTTTGTCGCGAACATACTTTATTATTTTAATTTTCTTTACTATGAACACTAATTTGTGCGTACAGAATACAAATCTACAGGTTTGTCAGCCTAGTGTAATAATGACTAAAACCGGTGTAACGATATTCCAGGCAAAATTTTATTTACTCCTTTAATAAATTTTACTCAGAGTTTATTTATAAAATTTCCATAAATGAATGTTTTATAGGTTTTGTAGATATAAAATAATTTACAATTCTTACTATGACATAGAAAGATAAATAAAGTAAGTGAGAAAAAAAAATAGTAAGAAAAATGAAATATTATATTGATAATAAATAATATTAAAATATTATTTGACGGTTAGTAGTGTAGAGTAGTGGTTTGTGTAACGGACTGCTATTCCAATGGTCGCGGGTTCGATTCCCGCTCAAGTCAAACATTTGTGTGCATGAACATTTAATGTTTGATTTGGTCTGGGTGTTTCTATGTATAATAAGTATGTATTTACAAAAAAAAAGTATATATGTATTTATATTAGTTGTCTAGTACCCATAGTACAAGCTCTGCTTAGTTTGGGACTAGATGGCGTTGTGTGAATGTGGTACAATATTTATTATTATTATTATATTATTAAGCACTAGAATCAACTTCCTATCATATTTTTGTGAACATTTCTGGTTTGGGTATATTTCTTTTTACTTGAATTATGATAGATTTTAGTCATCGAGTCGAAGCGAATGCTAAATAAGTGTTTGAAGGATGAAAAAATGTCCTCTTTTTGCAATAGATTAACCTACTGTTCCACGACCTACCTTCATCTTCTTGTGCTCAGAAACAATCCGTGCACCTTATTATGTTCTCTTATTCTCCTAATTCCGTTCAATAGTTCTAATCGCTATCACAGGTTTCCATTGGTTTAACGGTACGGTTGTAGAAATCTTTTCATCATTCAATACGCGATAGTCAACCTTTTGATGTTTTTTAAAGGAGTTTTTTTTTTTTTTTGCAGTAAACAGATTGATTTACATACGTATGTTTTCGTAACTACACATTTGGTTATCTATTTATATTGCGCAAAGAATGCGTATTTACTATTAAACTATATAAGTAGGCATATATCATATTTAATTACTTTACTTACATATGAATTAAGATCTCAGCTTCTATCTGAATGATTCAGACTCGACACGACTTTGACACTCATTCATTTTTAATATACTCTCTGCAGACCTGAGCAAGATATCCTGTAAGAGAACGGCTTAACTCGCCTTTTTACATTTTGATATCCAATTTACGCGAGCGTTGCATTAAAATTGAAAATTCATGTCATCAAATTAAACATTTAAGTTTTTTAGGTCATAGAATAAAAATACAAATTTATTCATAAAAACAATTGGGCTCTGTTACGCGCTACAATTACTTCATAAAGATCGTAATTTAGATAGTCATGAGTAACAACAAAGTGTTGCTTTCAAAGATGTACTTTAAAAGGTTCATTATCTATTCGCATCCACACATATTCGCATAACACATTCTTTTTATTTTAACACAAAATATAACATGGCATAATTTTGTTTTTCCTGATTATATTTACGCATAATTATTTAGAACATTTTTTCTAATCATGATAATGTTTAAGCAAGGTATTCTAAAACATAAATTTATTTACGCATAATGATTAGAAACATATTTTTTATAGACATAAGTAATACTCATAATAATGAAGTCCTAAAATGTTAGACACTAGTAGACATTTTTATACGATACTAGCGGTGGCTTAGGGGTGGCCGAAGGGTTAACTAATAACAATATTTATCATAATATAAATTGCCGTAACAAAACGTACGATCATAACGCATAATATTGTAGTGCATTAATGTTTTGCTGTGATGTATATTGTCATAAATACCGTTGGCACAATTGCCAAATTATGCCAAGACCAATTAGAACAAATGATTGTTATGCCAATTCTTGCATTATACAAACATTATGCCAAACAATATAATACCTTAAAATTTAAAAAGCGAAGAGCTATCCTTTCGAAGAAGAAGAGCTATATTCCTACCGATTTTTATGCCTAAATACTATTAGGCTAATGGTCATTATGCCTAGTAACATTATGCGAATGAAAATTATGCCAAAACAAGTTAGTCTAAAAGGTAATTATGTCAATATTAAGCCTACGTACCCAATGGACCTCCAAGCTTCGATCTCATCGACAAATATGACCCTTTGGAATTCCTTGTCCCGTTTAGACCTTTACATTTAGATTTCGTCTATACTTTAGTGTACGTCAGACCCTCTATCAAACAATGTGTTTCGTTGGAACTTATTTATACATATTCATATGAAAAGTTAAAATGCAATTGTATCAAAAATAAAACACTATCAAATAAATCTATATTTTTCTTAAAAATATAATATCAATATATGTATGTATGTGTATAATATTGTATGTGTGTACATAATATTTCTTGTTCCCATTTAGATTTTTTTTTTCCGTCCGAATGTCCGGTGTCGCGGGAGACTTTATAAACATACATGAAACAGACACAGGAAAAACCCAGACTCAGAACAACTATTTGTGGATCACACAAAGTGTTGTCCACAAATAGTTTGTGATTCAAATGATTGGTGTAATATGATGGTGTAATATGCTCAATTTTTTGAACTTATGCTGCTTTAAGCTCGTGGGATCAAAAATGAATGGTCTAAATAATATACGGCCAAACAAACTCGTAAAGCAAACAAACACTACAAACATCTCGAGAAATAAAGTGCTCACTAAACAATTTTTCCATAAAAGAATGTTTGAAAATAGACCTCGGACTAACTCACTAAACGATATTTTAATCCCTGCAAGTCAACAGTTGGAAAACGATAGTGGACCACAGGATAAACAATTTTACGGGCAAACCCTAATAGCAATAAAGGACCCGCAAAACAAACCAACCAATACCTACTGGTAACTGTTTTTCGCAACTCGTAGACGTATAATACCAAAAAGTGGCGACAAGCCACCGGATGATCCTAAATCCTACCGACCAATCACATTGTTACCATCGTTAGGAAAGCTTTTAGAACGTCTTGTAGTGCCCCGGCTTCTGCCAGGTGGAGTCAAATTTCATGATAGACAATTTGGATTTACGTTGGGTAAATCGACAACTGACGCTGTTATATCGGTTAGAAAGTTTGTCACAGAGTCAAAATTGCAATACGTGCTGGCTATTTTCTTAGATATATCTGGCGCCTTCGATAACGCATGGTAGCCCATGCTGTTGCTGAAATTAAAATCACGGGGGTGCTTTAAAAATATTTATTCCGTTATATCTTCGTACTTTTCACAAGGTACTACTAAACTAAGACTTGATCATCATTCTGTGTCGAAGGCGCTTACAATGGGATGTCCTCAGGGATCGGTGCTAGGTCCATACTTGTGGAATATCGGCTTCGACGCTTTTCTTGCGATACCAATACCATCCGGATGTACTCTGAACGCGTATGCTGATGACGGCTTATTACTGGTGGAATCTGATACTAGGGCGGGGCTTGAGAGATTAGCCAATAGATGTTTGAACTTGATATCTCAATGGGGTGAACGTAATCGCTTAAATTTTGCACCCAACAAAACCTTCCAGCTACTTTTAAAAGGTAACCTCAAATCACCGCCAAGCATTAGATTTGACAATGTTACTGTAAAAAATAAGGCCTCAGTGTGTTACCTAGGATTAGTTTTAGAAAGAAACTTTTCATTTATCGAACATATTAAAATAGTTAATGAAAAGTCTAAAAAGAGTTTCTGTGCATTGACAAGGATATCAACTGCGACATGGGGTCTATCATTTAATACATTAAAGATCATTTACGGAGCTACTTATTTAGGTTCTATGTGCTATGGTGCACCTGTATGGGCCGATAGCCCGTCCGCCGCCACCTGTCCGTCGCAAACTGTTACAAGGCCAACGACTTGCACTGATATTCTTGTGTAAGGCATATAGGACGGTTAGCATTGAGGCTTTGCCGGTGTTGGCAGGTGTGCTTCCGGTCGATCTCTAAGTGCAGAGACGTGCAGCCATGTACTATTCAAGACAACAAAACATGGAATGCGATTTTTTGGGCGCGCGGGATCGCGGTAAGATTACAAGATTGCTTCAACAGCAGTCCGATGTCTATAATGACCTCATAGACGAATGGCAACAACGCTGGGATGAATCATCCAAGGGGCGCCATCTTTACCAATTCTTTCCATCTGTTCGCGAACGGTTGTCGAGGACATGGCTTGAGGTGGATCACTGTGTCGCTCAATTTCTTACTGGTCATGGTAACTTTAAGAGCAAGCTTTATTCATTTAAATTAGTCGAGTCATCATTGTGTCAATGCTCAACACCTAACTCTCACTATGAACAGTCTGCTCATCATATCCTCTGGGAATGTAGTCTTTGGTATAATGAACGTAATATAATGCTGAATACCTTGCAGGTGACATCTGGGGCGGTATACTATGGGGATCTTGTGTCAACTAGGGTGAATTTCCGTGCGTTTAGGCGATTCTGCCATACATATTATAGAAATCAAATATAGCTCACGTAGGACCCGTAATATTTCATGGCCGTGGTGCTTCCCTGTTTAAAAGGGTGTATGCCCATTTTACTTCATTTTGTCTCCCGCTTTGCTAAGGAGGGAAGTGGATTTACTGTATTTCCAACTCCTCCAATTTTCTTCTGATTAATTTCGTTGCGGGTTCCAAGACAGTTTAATTTCTTCCTGGGACTTCCCGAGTGTCATAACTCGGTGTGTTCGTGGGTCACTGCTGTGGATCCTGGTGTACAGGAGTTACAGTGGTGGGCGTGTGGGCGGGATTAGTCCCATAAAAAAAAAAAAACTCGTAGACGACGATACTTAAGATCCAGAGACAGAGCCAAAAGAGAAGCCTATAAAGCCTCCACCAATATTTGGAGATAAAGTACAGAATATACAACCACTTATTAGCATATTAACTAATCATGTGCAAAATAATTATTAACTCAACAACGAACCAGTTAAAATACAACCAAAAACACCAGATGAATATAGAGAAATTGTTAAACAGCTTGAAAAAAAATGTACGTACAAGCCCAAACAAGAAATAAGTTTCAAAGTGGTCCTTAAAAATATCCACCCATCAACTGATTAAACGAACTTAGAACTTAAAAATTTAAACTCTCAAAACTAGGCCATGCCAATATTTATGGCAAAAAGCCACCAAGCCGAACTAAAACCGTTTGAAAACAACAAATATGTTTACCACATAAAATACCTTTTAAAATGTAAAATAAAATTTGAACCCCCTCGCCCTAAGCGGGAGATACCCAAATGTGCTAAATGATAAAGGCTTATGGCCGTCGAAACCCAAAATGCATTAAGTGCGCTGGAGGTCACCTATCCGTAGACTGCGATTTTTTTTTTTTTTTTTTTTTGTTTTTTTTTCCGTGCGGAAATCCCCTCGGATACCACCTGTCGGTGGCATGTCGGACTCGAACCGACTAAAACCGCACGTCGTCTCGGGTACTAATAGCCGGGGAACCAGGTATACCGAGAAAGGAAGTCCCTGGTGCTCCGTAGACTGCCCATAGAAAAACACGATCTAACAAAGTGAAATGTGTTCTTTGTGAAGGAAATCACCCTGCTAACTACAAGGGATGCCAAGTATATAGAGAACTACAAAAATTCATACTACCAGTTAAACCAGAAATAAATAAGAATCAACGTAAGTATGCCAGACCAAATCCCACACAACAAACTGTAAAATGGAGCCCAAATACCAAAGCCAAAAGACATATATATATATATATACGCACTAACTAAGGAAGCAAACAAAAGAGAAAACAAAACTACAACATGCTAATAATAGCGATAATAACAGTAATGGGGACTTAATAACAATGTAAAAGCATGATACAACAATTTATAAATATGACAAACCTACTTATAACACTCAAGACTAAGCTGCAAAATTCGACTCCATAAAAATGGTTATTTGGAACGCCAATGGCCTGACACAACACACCCTCGAGGTGGAAACTTTTCTTGAACTATACAAGTTTGACGTACTCCTAATATCAGAAACTCACTTCACCAAGAAAAACCATTTAAAAATTGATTTCTATAAATTATATTATACGACGCACCCTGATGGTACTGTCCATGGTAGTAACGCCATATTAATAAAAAACAATATCAGACACCATGAAACTGCAAATTATTGAACAAATGAAATACAAGCGACAAACATAGTAATTGAGGACTGGGCTAGACCCTTCACAATCTCAACCGTGTATATCCCTTCTAAACATAATTTAAAACAAGACGACTTCTTCAAAGAAAAAATAAGACGAAGTTCTTCAACACAAGGAAATCGATTCGTGGCTGGTGGTGACTATAACGCCAAACATATTTATTGGGTTCACGAACAGTTACACCGAAAGGCCAATCGCTGCTTAGAGCGTTAGATCAGTTGAAACTTACCTGTATCTCTCATCAAGAGACTCACATGGAGAAAACACATCTTTACCAAAAGACTGGCAATGGGACAATAGATCAGAAAAATGTACTGGATGTTGCACAAGAAGTTTCAGTTGTCAATGACAAACTAGTTACTAATTTTAAAAGCCATAATTAAACCCATATGGTGCTACGGTCTGCATCTATGGGGTACAGCGGCAAACTTGAACATAGAAATCCTGAAAAGATTTCAATCTAAAATGCTACGCATGATAACAAACGCACCTTGGTACATAACAAATGATAGACTACACGACGACCTTAACATTAAAACACTAAAAGATTAAATAAAGGAAAGGATGACTAAATACAAAACAAGAATCACACACCACCCTAATGTACTTACTTGTAAAGGATTTAATGAAAGTGCAAATGCCACGAAGGCTCTAACACAAAAACCAACAAGATCTATTATTGTAAAGTTGTACATCACATAATGATGAAGCGATATTGTTTATGAACAATCTTGCACAAGCCCAAGACTTGCAAATACCAACCTAAAGCTGAATAACCATAAATTGCATTATAAATTTATAAATAAATAAAAACTGCAGCTCTAAACAATTCGCACACAGTAACTCAATTATGAGAACACGTATATTTACGAGTATATTTCATGTGATATAATTACCTATTTTTGATTAAAAAAGCCAAAGCAAAGCCAATAGGTATCTTTTTATGGTGACTGTTTAGACCAATACCACAGCCTCAGCAACGCCCCCAGTGTCCACAAGTTAGGGACTGATTGCCTGAAACCCTACCCCTCTGGTGCCGACGCCCTCGCCTACGAGCCAGCATTCCCAACCAAGCCTGATCATGGGTTTTGAGGCCGTCCGAGACGACCCTTCTCCACTGAAAACGCTCTTTGTGTTATTTTTTTATATTTAGTTATTGATAAGGGAGTTTATAAACTTGATTATCTGGATCCAATTGATTGTCTGTAAATAATAATTAGTCAACACATATTTTAAATATCATGGTTGTGTGACAGTCGAAGAGTTATAGTCATAATTTAGTCAAAACTTTATATTTTCACTCATAACTTACTGAGTACATAAAGTTTTATTTTTAAATGAAGAATGACCACAGAGGAGTTCCCTCGTATATTATACTTATCGTAAAGATGCATTGTTTGTAAAATAAAATTGCAACTTTGTCTGTTTAATGTAAATGTGATCTTTATATATAAATATATAACTTTAATTATGCAATAAAAAGGTTTGGAAGTTAAATTTGACTCTAGCATAGAATATGTAGTAAGATATGAATATTGCAACCGTCTGGCCAGCGTGGTATAGTAGGCCAAAACCTCCTTTTAGGGGAGGCCTATGTCCAGCAGTGGACTATTATAGGCTGTCGATGATGATGATGATGATGTTTATTTATTGAAAATTAGTACCATTGAGGTGTTGAGTTGTAAATCTAGATTATTAGAATGACAACTATCAATTGCATAAATATGCATTATCTATCATAATTTCTATAACTATAATATCTGTTTCTAAAATTGTCTCTTCCTAATCGAATTTTAGAGTGGGATCCTTTGTTTTCACATTATGTTTTTTTCATAATAATACTTTGCCATAATTTGCTTTTGGCATAGATACACTTAATATTGGCTACATACCCGCTGGACCTCCAAGTTTGTACCCTATCACAAAAGTACCGTGTGGTGACGGATTAAGAATACAGAGTTTCACCACCCCTATTCATCCCCTGGGTGTCGTAAGAGCCGACTATGGAAACAAACTGTGCAAAACAACAGCACTGCAAAAAGAAGGAAAACTTGAAACAAACCCTATACCAACCCGTCTTGCCAGCGTGGTATAGTAGGGCAAAACCTCCATTTTAAGGAGAGGTCTATGCCCAGCAGTGAAGTGTTAAGAGCTGTTGTTGATGATGATGATCACAAAAGTACCCGTTCGACCTCATTTTTAGCTCCCTTTGGATCCTCTTTAAAATGAAATAATCAAGGTGCCCGTTGGACCTCTCTTTTATTACCCGATGGACCTTCAACATAAAACCATTAAAAAATGGCACGTTGGACCTCTTTTTTAGTACCGTTTGGAACTCAAGAAATTATATATTCATTTGGAATTCGTTTAATGTTATTTAAGTAAGGAAAGGATCAGTTATGATGAAAATCGTTAATCGGAATTCTCAAAATTAGGTAAAGGAACATTAGCAAAAGCAGGCACACTAGGGACAATCCGTAGAAAAAGAGAATATATATATATATATATATATATATATATATATATATATGATATATATATATTCTATATGTACATATTCTCTTCTCTCTAACTCTCTCAACACTTTGTATGATCCACAAATAGTTTTTGTGAACCAGGGTGTTCCTGTGTCCGTTTCATGTATGTTCATAAAGTCTCCCGCCTACCTATTGGAGTTCTAGCCAGATAAATATATTAATCTGAAAGCTAAAATTACTTAGTGTAACATTATGTAATGCACAAAATTTATTTTTTCTTCATAATCTCATTTCCGTCTTGAACTCATTTTCAAATGTCGAATTTCCGAAGAGAGAGTGGTCTTTTCGAAATAACCAAGCAATTATTTTTTCTGAGCATTAGTAGTGAAATCGTACTTTTGATCGAATAAGAAGTACCTAGTTATGCAAAGGAATCTGGAGTACTATACTAGAATACTAAATACAGTAATTTCTTCCTATCTGCTTATAGGTCGATATAGAACTATACGATCCATTTAACGAATTCCTTTTTTATTTATACTATGAATTGCCCACGCATATATTTACTTCTTTATTCATAAAAATGCTATGACGTTTTGGCGTCACGATCTAATTTAGGAGATTGAACACCTTCACATTGGTTATGTAAGTTACGTCATAAGACCCGCGCGCGCCGCGGGTTACAAACATGACGCCCCGACTAGAAGCAAATTGATTCAATACTCTCGTAACGTCTCCGGTATATATATTGAGCTAATGACTATGTTAATTCATCAGTTCCACAGCGGAAGTCTTACAAGAAAGAACAAAATGTTAGCTAAAGTGGGTGTTACTAATATTATTTTTATTTATTTTGTTTGCTATGTGTTTAAAAATAATATATAATCGGACGATTTCACATTTTAGGTATTAATACTAGCTTTTGTTGCTGTGGCTTCCTGTGACGATTATGGATATACTCGTAGATACAAAGGAGTGCACCATCGACCTATGCATAAATACAAACGTCACTATGAGCATGTTCCAATAAAAGTTCAAAGTGAGCATGAATCGTCTCATGAACCGCACTACAGTCATGCCCCTCAAAGTCACGGGCATGCCTATTCGTCGCAAAGCATCAACCATTACACAGGACATTCAGGACATTCAGTACATTCAGGACATTCAGGACATTCAGGACATTCAGGACATTCAGGACATTCAGGACATTCAGGACATTCAGGACATTCAACATATTCAGGACATCAAGAGTCCCGGGATAGGCATAATGCACACGTTGCTCCTGTCTATCAGCATGTTGAAGAGGATGAACCAGCACCAACTAACTATGAAATCCCAACACATCATTACCACAGTATACAACATGATTCACCAGCCCCCGTACACCACGAGCACTCTGTACACCACGAGCACTCAGTACACGCCAGTAAACCCCATGACCATGTCGAACATTTCGACGAACACGAGCATCACACCCAACCACGCGAGGCTCACGGTCACGAAGAACAGAGCTATGGACACGGCGGCCTACACCATGAAGCTCCCGTCCACCATGACCATCATGCTGAAGAACATGAGCATGAATCTCACGATGAACTCGTTGACTATTACGTAAGTATACGACGCGGCTTTAGAATATAAACACTTATTAACCGTACTTTTATAGTAACTTTCCATTAGTTGATTCGAGTCACATCTTGAAACTTTTAAATCACTTAAAATATTTACATATTGCAAATGGAGCAATAAATACTTTCGATATTACAGGCCTACCCCAAATACAACTACGAGTACAAAGTAGAGGACCCTCACACCGGTGACAGTAAGTTCCACCATGAATACCGTGATGGAGATGTCGTCAAGGGAGTGTACAGTGTTCAAGAACCTGATGGATCAGTCAGAATTGTTGAATACAGTTCAGATAAAGACAGCGGGTAAGAATAAGTGATAAAATAATTGCTGAAATTTTGCTTAAATAACTAAGTTTATTTCCTACATTAAAAATATTTAGGAAATACTTCATATTTAAATTCAAACGAATGTGAAAGTAACTCTATCCGTTTTTTTACCGTTTCGTAACTAAATAATACTAAACTAGGTATAGAAGTAACTATTATACCATCAATTAGACGGGCCTATTGGTCTAGTGGTTAGTGGCCCTGACTGCTAAGCCGGGAGGTCGTGGGTTCGATTCCCACAAATATTGTGTGATGAGCACGGTCATTAATTTGTTCTGTGTCTGGGTGTAATTTATCTATAATATGCATGTACCTATTTAAAAATATATAAGTATGTTTATCAGCAGTCTGGTCACCATAGCACAGGCTCTGCCAAGTTTGGGATCAGACGGCCGTCTGTGAAAAAAAATAAAAATTGTATCTCCAAAGTAAGAATATGACTATATTCGATCACCGTGACAATCTTGTGGTATCTAAACCTAAAGTTATACCTAAATACTAAATCACCATTAGTACCTCTAATATTCGCTTATTTTTTACAGTTTCAAGGCTACCGTGAAACATACTGCTCCAGGCCACCATGTCCATATCGAGAGTCATCACGAAAATTAAATCTGAAGACTGAAAACCAAACAAATACCCTCCTATGTTATCTTAAAATATTGTTAGTTTTTACTGTTGCTAGATGTGTACTTGCCTATTTTATTTTAAAATAAAATTTATTTAATATAATTTTATACAATGTAGTTTATCTATTGCGCTTTGCCTAGCAGACTATTAGTTATGATGTAATAATATGAATATTTTTAAGATTAACATTTTCTGTAAATTCCCCAATAATAGGAACGAATACTAAACTATAATACAGGCCCGTAGTTAAGTAATCAGACGCTCTTCCTTATTTCAATCGGAGGTCTAATCTTATCTATTATTTTAAAGCCTGATTTTTGTCTGACAAATTTAGTTTTCAGCTTCTTACTTCCTATTATAACAAAAATAATCTTTGTTACCCAACTCAGATTCTAAATAATAATCAAAATTTGTTGGTCAAATAAAACAAAAGTAGAATATTACTCCGTTCATATAACAACAACACAGATCCTAAACTTCTGGGGTTACAAATTTATTTGGAGGCGGATCTTTTATTTTGTAAGCATCCACTAAGAAAGAATTTCACTCCTAAGGGGATAAAATAAGGGATAAACAGTTCTATGAAATATCCTCAAAGTTAGAAATACCAAATAAGAAATATAAACACACGAGCGAAGCGGGGTGAAATAGCTGGTTTAATATATTACCATACTACTACATAGGTACACAATGTGGTTCAAAATCACGTTAAATATTTAAACCCATAGCGTCATTAAATTCTTCTCACAAAGAATACGAATCGCTCTGATTAAAACGAGTGACATAGTACTATTGATCTACGCAGTCTACACCATCATTATCATTCCACAGGATTCTCAAGAAAGTCCATAATTCCGGTGTCAGTCGCGGCTACTATTTTAACAGCAACTTACTACAGCACGTGATTTGATTTGTCAATTATGATAGTATAAACTTATTACGACTACGGGAAGTGATAGTTATAACCGACATTGCGTTATACAATTGTACTCGTATACCTAGGGGAATAAAGCTGTCTTCACACTTTGTTTAGCGTTTGTTTAGCGCAGGTGTTTTGATGAACGCAACGTGGACGTGTGTATTTTCCAAAAATCTAATACACCGATAAAAATCCTACTGGCTATATTTTCAAAAGAAAACTGTGCTAAAACGCATGTTTGAAGCGGTAGATATAAGATACACTTGAAGACTGAAGACATCACGACAACGGAACCTTCGTTCAACAGTGGACGGCAATAGGCTTATGGAATTTGGTGGTAGAAAATTATCTCAATATTATTATACTTAGAATATTAAGAAGTGATCGTAGGTAGTAAAGTAAGGATGCAACTTTTTAATCAAGCTTCAATACAGTGCAGGAGTAAGTACGCCTGCACTGTATTGTAGTAGTAGTCTTGTATTGTTTTGTAGCTAGTTGACATAATAACACATATTTCATACACTGCCATCTGTTCAAAAACTAGGCAGAGTGTAAACTATGGTAACCAGACGGCTGATAAACATACTTGTATATTTGTAAATAATTCCATATTATAGATAAATAACACCCAGTCAGACCCTAGAGACAATTGTGTGACGAGCACAATCCTTTGTTCTGTAATGTTCGTGCTCGTCACACAATGATTACTCACAACTTACAAAGTTATTTGTCTTAGGTGGTAATCGAACCCACGATTTCTGGCTTAGTAGTCAGGCTCACTAACCACTAGACCAACAGGCCTGTCGAAAATAGTTTATAATACTTACTTCAAAACCTTTTATTAAACATTCGTAAGCGCGATAATTGCTTGCAACTGTTTTTTTTATTTTCATTACATTAATTCATTACATTAATACAAATGAATAAACTCATTCTAATGTTAGTGTTGAAGCGTTTGCCATTTTAGTAAGGTAATAATATAGATCGTTCCTACCTTGTTGATTTGTTGTTATGAAAACTTCGATGTACTGGGAATTATTTCAGATAAATTATTTTAGTTATTTGCTACCTTAAATAGACTAAATCTATTTCTAGAAGTGTCCATTCGTTGATAATGTACCTATTCCCAAGTAGTCCGGAGTTGTTACAAAAAGCGTAAAATGTATGTTACTTGTTTACCACTTTAGTAGTAAGACTTGTATGGCGTGTATCGTAGATAGTATAAGATGTCGGGATTGAAAATGGCAGGTTATATATAAATTATACGCACACACACATTTAAACGATTATTCGGACACAAAGTAAATTTGAAGAGCCGCAATACTATGGTAAAGGACTTAACTACGTGTCTTTGGAATGAAGTAAAAAAAAAACTATCTATTGTATATATATATATATATATATATATATATGTATGTTGTTTTGATTTGTTTAAAAAATAAATTAAATTTAGTCATTAAGAGTTGTACATATACTGTATGTACATATATATATGTACTGATAAAATACAAATAGCTTCATAATGCCATAGTTTTACGGAAAAGTTTATTACAATTTTATTGTGTAAGTTACTTTTGTGTAAGTTGTTTTGTCTTGAAAAGTATTAAACGTGAAACGGTACCTCTTAGATTGGTTGGACTATAATTGTTGTCTGGAAGGTACTCAATTAAATAGAAATTTTATGGTGTGAATTACACATACTGTAGTCGTGTAGTCCAATTTATTTCTATACTTAAAAACTCTTCTTTCTACATTAATTTTAGCACCTTCCCACTTTAATGAACCTACCTTCCATTTATTTTAAATATGCTACAGAAATTCTAAGCAAAATATTGTTAACATCCACAAATATATCTTAAAAAATTGTCAAAACATGAGAGACATCAGGAACTGCTGAATAGTACATAAGTAGGCATTGAGTTTAGCGTTATTTCACTATTCAAGCGCATTGTAAATGCTGAAAGGTACATCCCAGAAAATATAGAAGAGTTAAACTTGTCTAAAACTTTAGTAGTAAATTGGCTGCTTAATTTGGTGATGTCTCTAGCTGTCATTATTAAATACCAACACATTTAGGACTAGTCAAGTAAATCATTAAATATTTAGTATAAGAGTATTTCAAACAACATTCAATATGTACTATTCCTACCCTGATAAACTCAAAAACTATATGGTATTTCAATTTATATTTATAATAGAGATAAGAGCAGAGAAGATAGTATTTCAATTTATATTTATAAATTGAAATATTATCTTCTCTGCTTACGTTAGAATACTTTATTAAAATTATTATTATTTTAACAAATAATATTTGTCCATCATTCACTTTTACGATCCCTCGAGAACTGCCCCTTTTTTACTGAATGCAAAGCACTTTTTCTTTCTGGCCTGGCATACACCTTGTATGCAAAATTTCATAACGATCGGATAAACAGAATTGCAATGCCAAAAAACGTATTCAGCATTTATTAGTTCTTGAATTAAATTGAATTCGAATACATTAAAATATGTTAAGCTATGTGATGTCTTTTAAAGGCATATTAAAATCGTAATAAGATTAGATTAAAATTGTGGTATAATTTGCAAAACCATGTCATTTTTAGCTTATCGTTTGCGTAGCGTAAACAAGCTCTCCGGTTACAAAAAGACGAGAAGTGTGATAAGATGCTTTTTTTCACCTGAGTCCCTCGTCATAGAGCGATTATTCTATGAGAAACAACCTCCAAACCTATACGACTCTATTAGGTTATCATCAATAGTATTATAAAAATAAATTTAAAGAACATTTTTGTTTTTACACAAATTAGGTAAATTAAAAAGAAACACTCTTTTACTAGATATATTCAGATAAAAATAATTCATATGAAAAGATCAAAAATATCAGAAGAATCGGGATGAATGATACTGATACTTCTATATACATTTTCTTTCTTAGTTTAAAAATTATTTTAGGTAATTTTAGAATATTTAATCTTTAAAATTGGCTGCGGAATACGTGGTGAAAAAATTAAACATTGTTTCAGTTATTAAACTAGGTTTATTTTTAACATTCAGAAACAATAATAAAACATAACATGATTTCAATAATATAACTTAAATAGGTTTTCTTAGTTTAGGGAGTAAGTGTGACCGTGCTTGGAGGTTGTTTTCACTACTGCATTAAATCTGGAAAAAATAACAAAGATGTGGGATGTATATAATATTACAGCAGGTATTTTATGGACTATACTGGAAACTATACTATACGAAAACTGGTCATGACCAGAAGACGGGCTTTTTTAGCACAGTAAATTAGCATTGTCATCCAACGTAGCTGTGATGATATGGAGGGTTTTTAGCGCTTGTGCGTCTAAATAGCCAATATATTAAAATGTATAACTAAATAAATTTATTAGTATAATACAATATAACAAAGAAAATATCGATACAGTTATATTATCCAATTTTAGTTACACTACTTGACAATTGAGTCTTGATCACTTTCAGATTTTTTTTAAAGTTCAAGTCTGTTAAATAATTTAACTGATATTTTATCCGGTCTGTCGTGGAATGCTTATTGTAAAATATGTAAAGACAAAAATAGGAAATAGTTTGTAATTTTCTATGAAATCATACACAGAATGTCAGAGTTTGTATGGTTACATTTAATTTCTTTGTAAAATAAAAATAAATAGGTCTTTGTGTTGAAAACTTTTACTGATTATTGAGATTGGTGCAAACAGGTTATCAATGATTATTTTCCCAAAAAACTCTACTAAACTTACCCATTGTGTTTATCAGCAGTATATTCAACAGTGCGCACGGAGCCATCAGCATCGTGAAGGCTATAGACTCCCTTCACAGAATCACCATCACGGCTCTCATGTTGGTATTTATTGTCTCCGGTGTGGGGATCTTCAATTTTGTATTCATATTCATATTTGGGATGAGCCTGTAGTGAATAAAAAAAATAAATAATACTATCTAAAATCCAGTTTTTTCCCCGTTAGATTCTGGTGCAGTAAACGTATTACACAATAATTACTACAATTATGAAGCAAATTATAAAAACCACAGTATAATAACACTATTATGATTGAATGGTTTCAAATATCAACTCACGTGGTAGTCAACAAGGTGTTCTTCCCCATGGTGTTCTTGATGACCATGGAGTTCTTCGTGATCATGTTTTTCTTGGTAAACATTTTGTTCCTGGTGACCAAGTTGTTCGTGGTTGCCATATTGTTCTTCTTGACCGTATTGTCCCTGGTCACCGTATTGTTCCTGATGACCGTATTGTTCTTGGTGACCGTATTGTCCCTCGTGAATGTTTTGTTCCTCATGACCATATTGTTCTTGGTGACCATATTGTCCCTGGTTACCGTATTGTCCCTGGTGACCGTATTGTTCCTGATGACCGTATTGTTCTTGGTGACCGTATTGTCCCTCGTGAATATTTTGTTGCTCATGACCATATTGTTCCTGGTGACCATATTGTCCCTGGTTATCGTATTGTCCCTGGTGACCATATTGTTCCTGATGACCATATTGTTCTTGGTGACCATATTCTTCTTGGTGACCATATTGTCCCAGGTGACCATGTTGTTCCTGCTGACCATATTGTTCTTGGTGACCGTATTGTCCTTCGTGGCCATATTGTCCCTCGTGACCATATTGTCCTAGGTATTCCTGATAACTATGATGTTCTTGTTGGGCATTCTGCTGATTACCACTTGATACAGAGACTTCATGATGGTTCGTAATAGAAGCGTGTTGAGCGGGTTGGAAATATAGAGTTTGTTCTCCGCTGTGGTAGCCGTGAGAAATTTCTTGATGACCGTGAGATTCCTGGTTGTGAGCGCTGAAATATTCCTGACGACCCTGGTTGCTATCGTGGTGTCCATGACTATCGCCTTGATGACTTAGATCATATTCATTGTGACCATGTCCGGAAGACTCAGGGTGAGTAATATGAAAAGATTGAGAGGTGTATGAATGTCCGTAGTCATGGCGATCTTCTGCATACACCACCGCCAGTACAAGGCCAATCAAGATCTAAAGAATAATTAAACAACAAATATATTATGAATAAATTATATGACCCACATAGGAAATGAGCACGGATGGCTATAAGATAATAATGCAATGTATTAGAAAAGTGATCAATAATAAAAGGTCCTTTTTAGTTTATATCTCATTCTAATCAGATTTTTATATTAGAGTTTCTTAATTTGCACACAGTAACTAACTCTTACATTATATCACTATTATCTATATTTGAAGTCACTTCTAGTTTTGTATTTGAATGTTTGGAATATTATTGTTACTTATAAAATTCGAAAAATACTTACTTTACAGAACATCTTATTACAGTATGTTCTTTAAAATATAATAATTGAATGATATAATTGTTGATGTTTTGAGCCTTTTATACTCAGAAAACTCAGTATAACCTCTTCTTTGTGAGTGTTTATTGTTACGTCATTAAACTGAAATCTGGTTCCGTTATTATCACTTGTTCTGTAATGAACATATTATTATGCATTTCATAATTTTGTTTCAAAGTAAACATTACAAGATGATTCACAATATTTACAGAACATAAAAATCTTACTCACTATAGACAGCTTAACGTTTAGCCAAAAGTTTAATTTCGCTGTTCAAGATTGCAACATAATTAATAACATATTAAGGTCCCGGCTAAGACGCAAATACGAGTACCAATAAATAAGATTATTCATCTGGGGCTAAATAACTCAAAATGATTGAGGAGAGGCAAATTAAAACTTATTCATTCACATCTGTTGCAAGTAAGAGAATTTTGTAATTATTTTTCAAAGTAATAAGTATTGTAGCACTTGTTGTATATTTAGGATGCTTACTTGGCTTCAGATATTATCCTCTTTATTAGAAAATGATGTCTGTATGGGGCATTGTATATTAACATAAAATGGAAGCGAATCTAAACTATTTGTACTATTTGAAATAATTACAATACATTTTTAAACCTTGATATTAGACCTGTAGTCCATCCTGAGCTACGGACAAAACTCGATGATTCTTCTTTTTGCTTCTTATTTTCCTGGCAACAAAAGCTTAAGATGACTCTACCATCTCTGGAGGTAAGTGTAATATTTATCCTTAGTATTTCATCACAAAAATTTGTTTAAAGGGCTCGTTCCAATAGTCTGAGGTGACAAAAATATTGATTGTAACCTTGACTGTCTGGAAGTCCATGTCGTCTTGTTCAATTTTTCGAAACTAAATTTTGTTAGGCATGATACGGTAGGGCTCATCACAAAAACCTATAAACTTCAAGCCCTAGAAGGGATTTCGGGATTTACTCGAGCGTTTCAGATTAAGATAGGACCCACAGTTAAGTACCTCCACCATACATGGGCCCTACGTATAAGGGGGATCGTCTAGGGCAGATACCCATCAGATTAGTCAACAAAAAAATCGATGGCAAGAAATATTCAAGCGTATAAGATTAAGGTAAGTTGAATCAACTACAAACACATTAGTGTGTATTTAAAAAAAACGGACCATTTAAGCGTGACATGAAGCAGTGGGAGGGTCACAAAGTTAAAAAAAACCTATGACCTCGTCATTTTTTTTTATTTTGAAGCAAACAATGCAAGCATTCATCTTTAAATGTCTACATCATTCTTCGTGCCTTTATTTGTCACATTTTATAAAAAAGAAATATACATAAATGTACTTCTAACCGTCAGATTCAAAATACCCTGCAAAATTATCGTCAGATTTTAGGTTAGTATGAGAGGTACATCAAGCTGAACCATCTGTATAAAATCTAACACGCTCGGGTATTTCGAAATGGCGATTATTCGAATTTGCAGTTTTTATTTTTAATAATTCGCTACGAGATTGGGTCTTTTCGATTTCCTTCCCTTACATTTTGGAAAACCTGTAGAAGCTTTTCTAGAAGATTATATAACTTTAATTCATTCTATTACATAATCTTTCAAATGCAATAGGTTCCCATGACGCTAGAGTAAATCCACATTTAGCATCATGGGCTCACCTACTAATACTTTTCTTTTAACTTTATTTGACCGTTGTCGCTTCTTGCTTTAAAATTATTCGTTTTAGTAAACATTTAATAGAATACATACTAACAAGGTAGTAGAATTACGTAACTAAGTTGATGGTTGTAAATGAAAATATAAAGTATCCAGTTTTAATGTTTTTGTATTTTGTTTTAATGTTTTAGTATTTTTATAGTGTTTTATATTATTTTATAAAGTGTTAAATGTTGGCAAAGTTATTGATGGAGACATCGTTTATTAGAATGTGTATCACATGGTATTTGATTATCCGATTTTAAAACCTAAGTCCATCTTGATGATTTATTTATTCATATTAAAGTGATTTTCAAATTTTCACTGTGTTACTGATCACAATGTGCTTGAGGCCATCACATTTGTGTCAAACACAAATCTTATTTTATTTTTATTATTGTTATTTCGGGACGTCTCGAGTGTCATAATTCTAGGTGTGTTCGTGGGTCACTGCTGTTGATCCTGGTGTCCAGGAGTTACAATAGTGCACCCACCACTGCGTATAGGATTGATTAGTCCCGTTTAAAAGAAACCATTTGTTAATTTTAGGAATGCCAACAAGTGAAATAAGACTAGACTAGACTTCCCTTCGCGGCACCGTGCGACTAACGTGTGACTTCATGTGCTAACAATTTAAATATTGTTTTCTGTTTTTTCTGCGACTAGTTTCCGGCTTGCGGGCGGCTAAAGGTTGTGTATAGTGTTTTTAAAGAAAGTCAGTAAGTTTTTATTGTTTTAAACAGTAATATAGTGCTGAATTATTTTATTACGACTATTGGTGAGTAAATTTATTTTCTTCCTAAAAGTGGGTAGGAGGTATTCTTTGTTTATATTGATTTTTCTCTGCGTGTTATTTATTTTTAAACCTGTTCCTTTTGAAATTGTTGTTTGGTGTGTCTTTGTTTGGCTATGTCGGTCGTTAGCGAGTTGCCGGACCCCGGCGGTACAAGTGAATTTCTAACACCAACCGGGAAAAGGACATTTATCGAAATGTCACCTACGGATTTCTCGCCGAAAGACAGTAGCCGTAGGCGCGTTATTAATTCGGACTTAAGTGGTAATGTTTCGTCTCCTACCGGCCGTGATAACTGTGGGGAGTACAACTACTGTGACTTAGTATCACAGGCCACTGATTATTTGGCAAAAATTAATGAATTAGTTAATGATCAGGGATCTCGGATGAATGTAGGTAATAAAACGGCGATTATGGATATTACTCAACGAATTACCGGTATCGTATCTTTGTTAGCAATAAAATCCTCTAGCAACGAAACGAAGTTAGCGAATTTTGAGCGACAAATGGAGGGTATCGCCACTCAAGAAACGAGTTTAACGTACGCGGACAAACTTAAGCTTCGATTACCACCTAAATCTGCTCCGTGCCCGGTACCTACTGAAGCGCGCGTTCCTAGGCCTTGTGTTATTGCCTATCCCACTACGGAACGCTTAGCGGACTATGCGACCTCGTCAGCAACAAAACAAGCTCTCATGAAGGCTATTAAACCGAGCGATGAGGGATTTCAAATTGTAGGCGTTAAAAAAACCTCTAAGGCAGGCGTCGTGTTACGTGTAGCTAACGAACGGCAGCTTAAGAAACTGGAATCTGTGGACGCCATTAAATCAGTAGGGTTGCGCTTAGAAAAACCGAAAGGCCGTAGGCCCCGTATAATTGTAAAAGACGTACCCGGTTCTATGGAAGATCGTGCCTTCCTAACAGCCTTATACCGTCAGAATATCAAGGACGAATTAAAATTAAGTGAGAACGATTTTATTAAGTCAACCAAAATTGTTAGGCATCGTAAACTAGAAAATGGGCGTCAATGGATAGGTTTAGAATTAGAGGCAGCAGTTCGGAAACATCTAGCCAACACAAAAGATAAACTTTATATAGACTGGGCCACATGTAGATTCATAGACGATATAGAAGTAGTTCGTTGCTTAAATTGTCAGCAATTCGGTCATGTACAAAAGTTTTGCACCATAAAAACCCCTACTTGTGCTAATTGCGCCGCCGCACATGAAACGCGAGCTTGTCCAGATAAAGACACACCAGATTTTAAGCCCACGTGCGCACAGTGTAAGCGGTTCAAAAAACCATCTGACCATCGATGCGGCTCATACGACTGTGCCACATACAAATTAAAACTGGAACAGCTAATATTAAATACTAATTACTGAATAGTTTAACTTAGTTTAAAAAAAAAAAAAAAAAAAAAAAAAAAAAGTTTAAAGAGTAACTTACTAGTAATGAATAATATTTCGATAGGCCAGTTAAATCTTCATAACGATAAAATAGCTACATCAGAATTAGACCGTTTAATTTTAGAACAAAAGTTAGACATTGTCCTTTTACAAGAACAATATCAGAGCGCTCACTTGCGTCGTAATGTAGTACAGCTTGACTGCCGTTCGCGGGCTGGGATATATGTTGCAAGTTCTAATTTTACGGTAACATCTTTGCGTAATCTTATGACGTCACACTGCGCCGTTGCTGAGATCTCATCCTCTACCTGTAAGGTTTACGTAGTGAGCTGCTATTTTCAATATTCACATCCTATTGATCCTCACTTACATCACTTACGTTACGTCTTGCAGTTCCTCGTGGGACATAAAATTATCATTGGAGCTGATGTCAATGCGTCATCTTCATTATGGTATGGCAAGTTGCGTTCAACCGACACGGTTCGACGTTGTGCGGTTGAAGATTTCATTGCGGAAATGAATCTTATTATTCACAATACCCCCGATGCACCACCAACTTTTTGCAACCCAATGGGTGAGTCTTCTATTGACGTGACGCTTACGCGCGGCGACGTCTCGATATCCGGATGGCGTGTCCTTCCGGACGCATCCTGTAGTGATCACCGCTTAATCGTGTACGAATTCATACCAAGGGTTGCACAGGATCCACAAAGGGCTCCCTATAATTTTAGATATAAAACTAAAGGTGCGAACTGGGCTTTGTTTGGTTCACTCTTTGCAAGTCATACCAAAGACTTCAGTCGCAGTAGTTTATCAGCTGAGGAAAGCGCAGAAATACTATCAGAAACTTTTACATACTGCGCTGATGTAACTATTGGTCGCGGATCTATCACTAACACTCGTAGATGTGATTGGTGGAATGATAGATTAGCCGAACTACGTAGAAGCTACCGGAAAGCTCGTAGAAAATTAAACACTATTAAAAAACATAACGTAACAGGAGATTTGTACAACAATGCTCTCATTGCTCTTAGAGTTGCCAGGTCCCACTACAGAGCTGCTGTGGAAAAATCCAAGGGAAACTTAATTCAGAAACTTGTTGATAAACTCGATAGAGAGGGCCCGTGGTCACCTTTGTATCACGAATTTAAGGCAAATAGATCAATCGACCTTGCATACATACAGAACATTAAAATTAATAACAGATATACCACAGGAGTAGAACAAACAGCAGAATATCTTTTAGACTCACTCGTACCTGACGATCGACCGGAAAACGACACTGATCATCACCGACAGATCAGGCAGTGGGCTATCGAACCACCACTGTCTCCAATGTCTGATTTACCATCTTCAGACGAATTTCTCGGTATCATTAGATCCTTGCCGCTAAACAAGGCTTCGGGCGATGATAAAATATCTAACAAAATGATAAAAGAAGCTTGTAAACTTTCGGGTGACACGATTTTCACTGTCTTTAAACGTTGCATTGCTGAAGGAATATTTCCTCGTATATGGCGGTGCGGTAATATTCGTATAATACCAAAAAGTGGCGACAAGCCACCGGATGATCCTAAATCCTACCGACCAATCACATTATTACCATCGTTAGGAAAGCTTTTAGAACGTCTTGTAGTGCCCCGGCTTCTGCCAGGTGGAGTCAAATTTCATGATAGACAATTTGGATTTACGTTGGGTAAATCGACAACTGACGCTGTTATATCGGTTAGAAAGTTTGTCACAGAGTCAAAATTTCAATACGTGCTGGCTATTTTCTTAGATATATCTGGCGCCTTCGACAACGCATGGTGGCCCATGCTGTTGCTGAAATTAAAATCACGGGGGTGCTTTAAAAATATTTATTCCCTTATCGCTTCGTACTTTTCACAAGGTACAACTAAACTAAGACTTGGTCATCATTCGGTGTCGAAGGCGCTTACAATGGGATGTCCTCAGGGATCGGTGCTAGGTCCATACTTGTGGAATATCGGCTTCGACGATTTTCTTGCGATACCAATACCATCCGGATGTACTCTGAACGCGTATGCTGATGACGGCTTATTACTGGTGGAATCTGATACTAGGGCGGGGCTTGAGAGATTAGCCAATAGATGTTTGAACTTGATATCTCAATGGGGTGAACGTAATCGCTTAACTTTTGCACCCAACAAAACCTTCCAGCTACTTTTAAAAGGTAACCTCAAATCACCGCCGAGCATTAGATTTGACAATGTTACTGTAAAAAATAAAACTACAGTGTGTTATCTAGGATTAGTTTTAGAAAGAAACTTTTCATTTATCGAACATATTAAAATAGTTAATGAAAAGTCTAAAAAGAGTTTCTGTGCATTGACAAGGATATCAACTGCGACATGGGGTCTATCATTTAATACATTAAAGATCATATACGGAGCTACTTATTTAGGTTCTATGTGCTATGGTGCACCTGTATGGGCCGATAGGGCGACCGTAGGCGCTGTCCGTCGCAAACTGTTACAAGGCCAACGACTTGCACTGATATTCTTGTGTAAGGCATATAGGACGGTTAGCACTGAGGCTTTGCCGGTGTTGGCGGGTGTGCTTCCGGTCGATCTCGAGGTGCAGAGACGTGCAGCCATGTATTATTCAAGACAACAAAACATGGAATGCGATTTTTTGGGCGCGCGGGATCGCGGTAAAATTACAAGATTGCTGCAACAGCAGCCCGATGTCTATAATGACCTCATAGACGAATGGCAACAACGCTGGGATGAATCATCCAAGGGGCGCCATCTTTACCAATTCTTTCCATCTGTTCGCGAACGGTTGTCGAGGATATGGCTTGAGGTGGATCACTGTGTCGCTCAATTTCTTACGGGTCATGGTAACTTTAAGAGCAAGCTTTATTCATTTAAATTAGTCGAGTCACCATTGTGTCAATGCTCAACACCTAACTCTCACTATGAACAGTCTGCTCATCATATCCTCTGGGAATGTAGTCTTTGGTATAATGAACGTAATATAATGCTGAATAGCTTGCAGGTGACATCTGGGGCGGTATACTATGGGGATCTTGTGTCAACTAGGGTGAATTTCCGTGCGTTTAGGCGATTCTGCCATACATATTATAGAAATCAAACATAGCTCACGTAGGACCCGTAATATTTGTGGCCGTGGTGCTTCCCTGTTTAAAAGGGTGTATGCCCATTTTACTTCATTTTGTCTCCCGCTTTGCTAAGGAGGGAAGTGGATTTACTGTATTTCCAACTCCTCCAATTTTCTTCTGATTAATTTCGTTGCGGGTTCCAAGACAGTTTAATTTCTTCCTGGGACTTCCCGAGTGTCATAACTCGGTGTGTTCGTGGGTCACTGCTGTGGATCCTGGTGTACAGGAGTTACAGTGGTGGGCGTGTGGGTGGGATTAGTCCCAAGTGAAATAACCAATACATATGTGATAAAATATTATATTTACTTTACATTATTGTCGGTCACAAAAACTGGAGTTTTTATACATCATCCTGCAAGCAGTTCGCCTAACGTTTCACAAAATGTATTTGAGCTTGAAAATAAAACCGAAAAATACTTACACACTACTAGAAAATATAATACAAAAGTGCTAATGCGCTTTAAATAGATGATGGATGAAAAGTTCTACACTAATTTGGGACTTAGTCCCATGAGATACTCTTACATGTTATGAAACGCTTAGCTGCTAAGCATACAACCAGGAAGTCTGCCTTTAACCGTGATCACGATACTCTTTCGTTGTCGCATTCCGTCCGTACTAAAGCTAAATAAAATAATAAATAGATGTCGTCGGTGTAGGTCTACGCGCGGTGGGTGGTCTAGCCTTGGAGATGTCCGTAGGCAGGGGCGGCTACGATGGCGGCGTGGCCCGCGGGATGTGCGGCATGACCTTGCCTGCTCACCACCGCGTTGAATCTGTTATGACAATATTATTCATAAACTGCAATCATTTTAACGTAATTAACTGAATTCAGATACATACAAAAAACATTGGATTCTAAAACTATTCATTCTACATTTTCAATTGGTTTTTAGTGCATTTCATTACGATTTAAAAAAAAAGAAAAGAAGAAAAAATAATCTTCTATTAATTAGTGTTAATAAATTACTTAAATTACTTTAGTTTTCATTGTTAGTTATGTATCATGAGATAGTAAACCTTTAATTGGAGGGTTAAATTAAGCAAATTAACACATCTGCTATATATGTGCTGTGCTAAGTAATTTTCTATATTTAATAGACAGACAAAGACAGAGTGATTACAGCAATCACTCTGTCTTTGTACTACTACATATACTTCTTTGTATACTTCATAACATTATTATTATAACATTAATATTATCTATATAGATAGATAATATTATTATTTTTTGTAATAATTTTATATATTTTTCCAAATTATGTTCTCAAGGTGAGGGTTAGATAAAAATAAGTATACGTATATGATACCCATATTTCATAAAATATACTTTTTACTTCCCTTTTAATAAAGTTGACAGTAGTTGAATACCCAATGACAAATTGTCACATCAAACCCATTCGCTAGCAATTTATCATACTCGAAGATAAGCACAGATTTGTCAACTAACCAACGATTTAGCAATGTCATGTTTTTTACTATATTTAAGTCACGTTTATGTTACGAATACTGTTTTAATAATCTTACCCATTATGATCATCAGCAGAGTAGTTTACGGTACGGACTGTGCCGTCCGGTTCAACAAGGGAATATTGACCCTTTACAACATCTCCATCACGAGCCTCCCATTGGCTCTTCTGGTCGCCCGTGTGGCCGTCAGTGACACCGTAGTTAAACTGATAGCGGGGGTGGGCCTGAAATTTGCGTATTAGTAAAATACCGGTTGATTTCAGTAAGAAGTTTTTTTTAAATCTTAATAACGGTAATCATAAAATAACGAGCTGAAAATGAGCAACTTAAGGCTGGAGGGGTGAAATCCTGATGTTTCTAATAGCAACAGTCGAAATCTAAAACTAAGAATGTTATTTAATCGAAGCAATGGAAGTTCCTAGACGTTGTCATTCAACGGGTTAACATTGAAAAATTACAGCGGTCTATGTGTGCACCTACTTTTTATCTTGTATTTATATTTACTCGTGTCATTTTTATTTCTTATATCCGTATAGAACAGTCGTTACAACTTACATATATCTCAACAGGGGCAGCGGCGTGACCGTACGCTGCGTAAGGCGCGCTCAACACCGGCGCGTGTGCCACGACGGCGCTGTGTCCTGCAACATACCTGACATCAACATACACACAAACACGTGGAAGTTGTTTAATCACTTCATTAATAATATGACAATAAAAAGTTCGGTCTATCTAAGCGAAATTCGAAAGACAAATATGTGATTAGAGAAAATAAATTTCAACTCCTTAACATTCACTGACTTGATAATATTCTTGATCTTACAATTTTAGGAGTTTTAAAAGCCTCGTAGAATTTCATATTTATTTTCAAATAATTTTATAGGAACTTCGCCCTATACACCCTATATTTTTTTGAAGAATTTAATAAGAACATATAAATCTATAAATATAATAGTGTGAAATCCTAAATAATTCTATTGAATGTATATACAGTATAAATTTAAGTAAGAAAATAGGATAAAGTGTATTTATAGGAATTCTGTAGGTAATCAGCACATTTTATTGCTAACGTCATATTTCTGATCTTCTTTATGATAATTGGATATACCTAATCCAAGTCCATATGCAGGAGCAGCGGCAGCATACCCATGTGCTAGGGCAGGAGCTCCCAACACAATACTTTGGGATGATACAGCGCCGTGTGACGCGATCAATCCTGCGCGGGCGACGCTAAATAGTGCGCACGTGAAAAACACCTGTAAACAAATATAAAATAAAAAAATTGGTCCATAATATTCCGTGATAAATGGATACAGGGTTTGGTGTTGAAAAGCGTTTTCACTACAAATTTCGATTTTCATTTGAAGAGACAATATTAAACAGACTTCATAAGCGAAAATATATAATAATTTTTACTACGTTGTCTATTTCAAAGATTTTTTGTAGAGTATACCTCAGGTAATATCGACCAGGTATAGAAACCAGTTGAATATATACACATTACACTAAAAAAATGATCACAAAAAAAAAGTAATCACTTGTGCACTGTTGAAAAATACTTTCAAATTTAATATTATACGAATTATGGATACGTAATAAAAATATTAAAAAACACAATCAAATCACCTATATGCTAGTGAAAATTGGTTAACCCATTTTGTCATTCATCAATTTAATCATTGATATGCAATTAATAAAAAGTTAATTTTGAAATAGCAGGGAGACGTCTATTTATTATGTAATTTCTTTTTTGTAGACATTTATTGTAAATAAATAATAAAAAAGTAAAGTACCAAAATGGTCGGGCTCTTTGTAAAGTTAAGTCAATGAAAGAAGCTTCTGAATAAAGTAGGTGTATAAGGACCTTAACATAACAAGTGGTAGCCTGTTGTCAGTGCCAACTCAAATGGAGAACGGTGTGAGCTTTTACATGGAGGTATGTATGATGATAAACTCAGGATGACTGATCGTTTAGTCCAATGGTTAGTGGTCTTCACTTCTAAGATATTGCAAGATAAATAATATTGTGTGATGAGTACGATTATGTGTTCTGTCTATTTATATTTATAGTAATTATGTGTTTAGAAAAATAAATACAGTTTGGTTCTTATCTATCATAATGCACTGTGTGAGATATGTCAATTAATTAAATATTAATGTTTTAGGCCTTATTCCACTAGACACATATTTATATGAATAGTTAGTATAACATTGTGGTATATGTATATCTCTATGAGTAATTAAATCTCAATAACATTATTTTATTCAATTACCTTAAAATTATAGCGAATTTTAAATGATTTTATTTGGAATTTAGTGTTTTTTTATTTCAAAGTATATTCCATGTTGGAAAACTTTCTTTCTATTGTTCTTTTGTTGGGTATAGTTGAGTATGTTTATCATTATTCAGCTTAGTCCACTGCAACTTCTTCCAATTCGTCCTAAAAAACCTGGCTCTCTATCTTCCTCATTATTAAAGCGTATTTATTCTATTTAATTTGCAGATATTATTTAAAGTGCAAAAATAATCGTATATATTCAAAAATAACAAATCATCAACAACTACAACAAAGATCAGGACAGAAAAGATCAAGTAACAGATTCACAATATTTTGAAGAATTCATAGTAGGGAAAACCAAAACATAATTTAATTGTAAAGTTTTAGAAATACACGATATAAGAACTAAAAAGTGTTAGACTTAACTAACTTGGCCGAAACCTCTTTAGAGATGTTAATTTGGACAGTAATCAGTCCGTTAAATTTATGAGTCCATGACGTATTGTAACAAGTTATGCGTTAATTAAAATTATCTAATTTTCTTGCACTCTAGATGATGGAATGACTGTAAACTATTGTTTAATTTGTAAGAAAAGTGCGTGTAGTAATGATTTTTTTAGGCAACTACGTAAAATTCTATTGCTGAATAGGTAATTTTAATAAATAATTATATTGTGTCATTAGCGCTTGGTTTTTGTACAGTAGCAGAATTTATACTAGCTCGTTCATCAAAATATATTAATTAAAATTATTAGTTTACTTCAGTTAGGAATACCAACAGCTATAAAAATGATAATGGTCAGATTAATATACCACATCAATCAAATTACAGATTTTCACGAATTGAAACGTTATAATTTAACAGAGGTACTGAAACACTAACGAACACGACACTGACCCTATATAATAAAAAATAATGAATCTAAAAATAATACGAAAAGAAAAATAAGGTTTAGCATACTGCGTACAATTACTACCGTAGTGTTGTGATATTTTGACAGCGAGTGAGATCAGTCTGTGCATACACAATATACGAAATGCATATACATACATATCAATCTTACTCACTTTACTTTTATATACTAATCTAATATATCATTTTTGAAAGAGTGACTATATTATGATCTGCTGAATACAAATATACAGGTACAATGTTATCTCTTTTATGGAACAGAGTTCTATTTTTTTTAATCTACCCCTTGAGAAGAAACGTTATAGATTATTTGTAAAAGCCCTAAAATTTCTATTATTTTTTTCTTTTCTTTTTATTTATAGAATATTTTGAATAAAATCACAAGCACATAACAAAAACCACCAAAAAGCACACTTCAATAACACCAAACCACTTGACCACTTTACCTTGGCAAACATTTTCTAGTTTTGTCTAAGTTTAAACTGTACGTTACTGTCAACTCTAGAGCTTGCTGTGTGCCAAATTCCAAGATTACTACGCTTATATAGGGCCTCTATGTCCTATAGATACATATTAGAGTCCCGTTTGGGCGTGTCGTAGGAAACTGTATGTAGTATGTGGCCGTGGGCGCTGCCCGCAAACTAGACCATTGGATTAATATAGGTATGACAACCTTTGTCAAATACGTAACATGCATTTTTAAGAACACCTTATTTTAGAATTATACTAAACGTTTTAACTGTTATTTTTCGAGTTCAAGTCAGAAATGTCTAGAATGAACTGCCTGCCTTTTTTCTTCAGACATTAATTTTCTTCAACATTCAAGAGTAGAATGGATATGTTTCTCTTGAAGAGTACTATTTCATGTGCTATTTTCTTATTTATAGTCGCTTTTGTAAATGCTTTGGAAGACAAACTGTTACAGTAGGTAATGAATAAAAGCCATCTAGCCTTACAGGAATATAAATTAATCTTAATTTCTTTAGCAAAGTAATGTATGCAACTGGTTAAAAACAGAACGTTTAATACAAAACTGCTATAAATGTTTAAAAACGCTGTGTGACTCAATATATTCGATATCAATATCAGTATAATATTTTACTACAAAATGTAAAATATAAATGAAGTAAAAGGGCAAATCTTAACATTAGATATACATCCATGCGTTTATATTGTATGTGTCTTACAGGGGTCCATCCATACTTTTCTTTCACTCACTGTTCAAATTGCTAGGTTAAGAATTGACTTCAGAATATGCTATCAATACGTTTACTTGACACATAGTTCTGCAGTGCCTTTCGTAATTCGTTATTTCAGCTTGATTGAATTATGTTATTTCTCATTATTTATTTGTAAGGTATACAATAATATTCAACTCTGAACTATATTTCTAATTGTATTTCTTTTAAGCAGTTTTTGTTTCTAGTAAGTAGAAACCGTATCAAATGTTAGTACAAAAACTTTCGGTAATCATACTCATCATAAGAAAAGTTATGCACTTGTATCTATTTATAGGCTGTTACTGAGTCCGAAAATGGAGCCAACTTTTAATAATTACGACATCCACGGGATGAAAAGATCAAGTAACAGATTCACAATATTTTGAAGAATTCATAGTAGGGAAAACCAAAACATAATTTAATTGTAAAGTTTTAGAAATACACGATATAAGAACTAAAAAGTGTTAGACTTAACTAACTTGGCCGAAACCTCTTTAGAGATGTTAATTTGGACAGTAATCAGTCCGTTAAATTTATGAGTCCATGACGTATTGTAACAAGTTATGCGTTAATTAAAATTATCTAATTTTCTTGCACTCTAGATGATGGAATGACTGTAAACTATTGTTTAATTTGTAAGAAAAGTGCGTGTAGTAATGATTTTTTTAGGCAACTACGTAAAATTCTATTGCTGAATAGGTAATTTTAATAAATAATTATATTGTGTCATTAGCGCTTGGTTTTTGTACAGTAGCAGAATTTATACTAGCTCGTTCATCAAAATATATTAATTAAAATTATTAGTTTACTTCAGTTAGGAATACCAACAGCTATAAAAATGATAATGGTCAGATTAATATACCACATCAATCAAATTACAGATTTTCACGAATTGAAACGTTATAATTTAACAGAGGTACTGAAACACTAACGAACACGACACTGACCCTATATAATAAAAAATAATGAATCTAAAAATAATACGAAAAGAAAAATAAGGTTTAGCATACTGCGTACAATTACTACCGTAGTGTTGTGATATTTTGACAGCGAGTGAGATCAGTCTGTGCATACACAATATACGAAATGCATATACATACATATCAATCTTACTCACTTTACTTTTATATACTAATCTAATATATCATTTTTGAAAGAGTGACTATATTATGATCTGCTGAATACAAATATACAGGTACAATGTTATCTCTTTTATGGAACAGAGTTCTATTTTTTTTAATCTACCCCTTGAGAAGAAACGTTATAGATTATTTGTAAAAGCCCTAAAATTTCTATTATTTTTTTCTTTTCTTTTTATTTATAGAATATTTTGAATAAAATCACAAGCACATAACAAAAACCACCAAAAAGCACACTTCAATAACACCAAACCACTTGACCACTTTACCTTGGCAAACATTTTCTAGTTTTGTCTAAGTTTAAACTGTACGTTACTGTCAACTCTAGAGCTTGCTGTGTGCCAAATTCCAAGATTACTACGCTTATATAGGGCCTCTATGTCCTATAGATACATATTAGAGTCCCGTTTGGGCGTGTCGTAGGAAACTGTATGTAGTATGTGGCCGTGGGCGCTGCCCGCAAACTAGACCATTGGATTAATATAGGTATGACAACCTTTGTCAAATACGTAACATGCATTTTTAAGAACACCTTATTTTAGAATTATACTAAACGTTTTAACTGTTATTTTTCGAGTTCAAGTCACAAATGTCTAGAATGAACTGCCTGCCTTTTTTCTTCAGACATTAATTTTCTTCAACATTCAAGAGTAGAATGGATATGTTTCTCTTGAAGAGTACTATTTCATGTGCTATTTTCTTATTTATAGTCGCTTTTGTAAATGCTTTGGAAGACAAACTGTTACAGTAGGTAATGAATAAAAGCCATCTAGCCTTACAGGAATATAAATTAATCTTAATTTCTTTAGCAAAGTAATGTATGCAACTGGTTAAAAACAGAACGTTTAATACAAAACTGCTATAAATGTTTAAAAACGCTGTGTGACTCAATATATTCGATATCAATATCAGTATAATATTTTACTACAAAATGTAAAATATAAATGAAGTAAAAGGGCAAATCTTAACATTAGATATACATCCATGCGTTTATATTGTATGTGTCTTACAGGGGTCCATCCATACTTTTCTTTCACTCACTGTTCAAATTGCTAGGTTAAGAATTGACTTCAGAATATGCTATCAATACGTTTACTTGACACATAGTTCTGCAGTGCCTTTCGTAATTCGTTATTTCAGCTTGATTGAATTATGTTATTTCTCATTATTTATTTGTAAGGTATACAATAATATTCAACTCTGAACTATATTTCTAATTGTATTTCTTTTAAGCAGTTTTTGTTTCTAGTAAGTAGAAACCGTATCAAATGTTAATACAAAAACTTTCGGTAATCATACTCATCATAAGAAAAGTTATGCACTTGTATCTATTTATAGGCTGTTACTGAGTCCGAAAATGGAGCCAACTTTTAATAATTACGACATCCACGGGATGAAAAATGGCGGTGACACTCCGTATTCTTAATCCCTAACCACACGGATATCCTTTTAATATATGTACTTGCAATTTTCCAATCTTTTTTTACAAAGTTTGACCCTTATTACCTGAGTAATTATAATGCATATATGAATACTTTACTTTTAGAAATACATAATTATATATTTCACAAAGAGACTATACTCGCCCTTTTCTTACAAACTAGTTGAAAAACCATACAGTGTTTGCAAGTTAGTTTCGATGTCGCCTAGACGCACACATTAACGGTAAATAATATTTTACGCCCATAAAAATTTGACGCTAATTCGTCACACAGGATTTAGTGAATACTAGCTGACCCGGCAAACGTTGTTTTGCCATATACATTATTTCTAGGAAAAATTGAAAAAAAAATTAGGGGTGTTAAAACACCCTCATCATTTAGGGGTATGAAAAATGGATGAATAATAAAATTTCATAAAAATCAGTCCAGACGTTTCGGAGGAACTAACATTGTGACACGAATTTTATATATAAGATAAATCCTAAACGCCACTTATAATGTTACCAGCCTTTAAAATAAGGTAGCGTTTCAAGCGTCTTATATTATTCTAGAGGCAGATCGGCAACACACCGTAGTGACCCGTACTTTTGCCATTGTGACAACACACTGTACTTTTGCCATTTATAAAAAAAATACGAGAGTAATTTTTAAGTAAATTATTTATTTGACTGATATGTTATATATTCAATAACTATAAAACAGAATTAAGTAATGTGATTGAAATATAATGTATTTAAAATATTTATTGACCCTGAAATAAAATGTATTCATTGTATTACTGCCGTTTTGTGCTTTTATGTGCATTGTAATTTTTAAAAATAAAATTAATTTGAATATTTATGTATTTTTTAATAACGCCTTTTATTAGTCGGATAACTGATTTGTTGATGGGTAGTCACCTGCTTGATGTAATCTTATTCCATTAAATGTGTTAGTACCTATACTAATTTACGTAAGATTTGCAGAAGTATCTGATTTTTATTTACGCACCTTAGTTGGTGAATTGGTCATTTAATTTTTCGTTAAAACTAATGCTAAAATCAAAATGATCTTCAAAATAAGGTCATTAAAAAAAACAAAAAAAATTAGTGCACTACACAGAAAATCATTGTAAAAACCAAAATCATCGAAAACTATAACATTGCGATGTCGAATGAATTAAAATAAGATTGGCTACATCACTATCGGAACCAAATATGAACTGGGACTGGACTGGGAACAAAATGTATCGAAATATTTCTGCAGGAATTGCAGTTCACTGCGTGCTCTCGTGGTTACTATGTACTTAGTTCTCAAATTTGATACGCAATGTATGATTGTTTTAGTAGATTAGATCATAACGGTTTTCTATCTTGTATTACATAATACTTTGTGATTTTTTGTAAATATTGCTTAAAAAAAGTTTTTAAGCAAAATTTACAAAACCTACCGATGATATGATATGTTGCCCAGTTTTTTTTTTTTAAATAACCCAAGATGGTTAAAACCGCAGAAAAGTAAATAAATTAGAAATGCGATGTAGGCGAGGCAGGCGTACCGTAGTTACGAGCAAATGTGCTTGAATCTCTGAAAATATGTGTATTATTTTCGCCGGGAACGCAGCTCCATGAAAAAATTTCGAAAACGAAATCAGGACTGGAATTTGTCCAAATTGGACAAATTTGCAAAATTGGACAAACTTCGGTACGCCTGCCTTGCCTACATCGCATTTCTAATTTATTCACTGTTCTGCGGTTTTAACCGTCTTGGGTTATTTCAAAAAATATATTGCTTTTTATACAAAAGAGAAGAGAGAGAATACAAAGAATTTTCTCTCATAGTTATTACAAAACCCTTCTACAAAACAAGCAAACAAACAAGTTTATTGAACCATCAAAGTTACATTTTGATAGGTGCTCTGTCTCCTAAACTAGGTTGATTAACCTGTATCATAGGAGTCAGTGCCTTCCTTAATTAGAGGTACAATGGTTTTACAATATAACCTTACTATTGTTAGAAATTGTGTCCTGAATTAAAAGTCTATTTTTAATTAAGTACCGCTTTAAGTAGTTAAGAAGGATTTTTGATTTCTGAAACTATAATTAATTACAATATTGTATTCTGATAAAATATTTCGTGAGTTGTATAAATATAACCATGTTTTGTTGTGATCGATTATCTTGATGATTAATGTTATGTTCTGGAAGTGGTTAAAACAAAATAATTGTAGGTGGTAATAGTAGCAAGGACAAAGTAAATTCACACTCTAACATTGACAGTTATTGCCAAAGGTTGCTTATTGAACAAAAAAGGGGAAGAAGGATTTCGAATTACAATTACTCGAAAGCAATACTCGAAAGACGTATTTAAATAAATAATAAATGTAGGTACTAAATGATTCATAACAAAAGCTGTCCTATTGACATACATCCGAAATAGTGCAGAAACTAGTTAGCATTGAATAAAATTAGATCTAAGCAAACTACACTGAGTTTGTTAAAGATGTATACTCCTACGAGACTCATAAAATACTTTGAATTCTGTTTAGTAGAGTAGATTCCTAATTACATCTGAAATGATAGTTTTATAGGCTTGCAGTTCATAGTAATGGCTAATAAAAGAATAATAATATTTTGGACATCCGACACACATCAACTAGTCCATCACAACCATCTAGTTTCAAACTAAGCACAGCTTCTACTGTGAAAACTAGATTGACTGATAGAATACTTACATACTTTTTTGCAGTAAATTTGTGCATATTATACATAAAAATGACTGTCCTGTTAGCCTAGTAGTTAGTGACCCTGACTGCCGGAGGAGGTCGAGGGTTCGATTCCCACCCAGGACAAATAATAATTATTAGTATAAAAAATACTCAAAAAAATGGCATCAACATTGTCTTCCAGCCTTTTTTTTATTTTATTTTAAGTCAGAGCAATGACAAATTGTTGTAGATGGTTCCTTCTATGGCTGGCGATCGCCTGACATTAACTCTCTATCTATCTATCTCTCTTTCTCTCTATCAAACGACTTTGGAATGTCATTTCCAGACAGGATAAATCAAGAAAGTAAATTGAAGGAAAAAGAACATATAATGACAAAGGAAATAGAGTAAAAAATAATAACAGTAACGAATTCAGTAGTCCGTAGAGGCGATGCTCGCCGTATGTCGGTCCTCAGATTAGAAGCTACTAAGGCAGCACCAATTATTTTTAATTAACTGAACAATAAAAGACTTTGGTAATTGTAATTCAAAGTAAAATCTAATCTGCAAAAAGTAATATTTAAACACAAGTAATTGAAATAACAATATCTACACACTTAGGCAGTTCGAATTATCGGTAAAAAGAAGGTATAAATATAAATATTAGGCTAGACAAACCTATTTTAAAATTCAAATCACTAAATACGTGAATACATATAACTATTTGAAGTGTAAACTTTAAATAGCATATTTTTATTTAGTATTTACATGTATTCTAACCTTTTAAAAAGAAAATATTTACAGGATAATCAACCTTTAAATCAGGGTGTTTACGTCTATCCTGTAGTCTCGGATATCAAGTAGCTATGACTCATCTATCCGATGTCATTAACCTCTATGCATATTACCACTCGCTTCAATGGGCAACGTAGGTCCGGTTTTGTGCGCTAATATTTAATTATTTGCATGGAAGCAGAAGATTTAGGTTATTACATAATCAGAAGAGGGTTAAAAGGTTTTTGTGTCAATAGTATCTATTAATTTCTTGCCTCTCTCATTTCTTGACAATAACGCTATAGATTTAAGTTAAACTTAATGTATTTGGTTCACAAGGGCATCATAAACTAAGTGCTGTTTTTTTTTTGTCGTATAC